TTTTCTAGGCAAATCCTTTCTGTAAAGTTTCCGCACATGTGCAGTCCACAAGTGGGTCAGCCATAAATAGGGGTCAAGTCCTTTATGAGCTCTTGTAAACTTGGGGAAGTCAGTTGACAAGAAAAACACAAATATGAGGAAACAAATAATAAATGCAAAACAGAAGGAAAACTTTTCTTGCAGGCCTTGTAATCAGGGAGGATTATGAAAGAAAAAGAGTTCACAGAAAAGCAAGGGGTGAGCACATATGAAAGGACCCCACTAACCATGACTAGAGATGCCAGAAGTGCATTAACCCCCAGGTGCAGAATTTTCACATATTTAACTGTCACGAAATCAGAATCACTGTGAGCACAGCAGCACTTACGATAATTGTTACCGTCTGTGCCAACTTGGCCGCCTTTGCCGTTACTGGTGTTAAGAATGGATGAACGGCAAGCCTCTTAAGGATTATTTTGGGAAGGAATATAAACCCTGGCTGATAGTAAGATCAAGAAAGTACTAGGATGGCCCTGGGTGGGTGGCTCAGTTTGTTGGAGCATCGTCCCAGACACCGAAAGGTCACAGGTTTGATTCCCAGTCAGTGCACATAAATCACTAGGTTATGGGTTCAGTCCCCTGTTGGGGTACATACAGGAGGCAGCTGACCAATGCTTCTGTCTCTCCCTTCCTCCTTCTCTAAAATCGGTAAATATATCCTCGGGTGAGGATTTTTGAAAAAGTGCTAGGAGGAAAGCATGTAAACATGTTAGTGCCTTGAGAGAAAAATCTCATAGACAATATTGGAAGATTTTTATGAAATTCTGAATCAGCAGCACCTCAGAGAGTACATAGGAAATGCCTTCCCCCATTAGTGCCATCTAGTGTTTTAAACAGTAATACATAAAACGATAAGAGACTTAAAGAATACAATAATTTAAATATTTAAATAATAAAAGAAAACCGCGGGACACAGATTGGTTAAGGTATTTCTGATATTTCTCCCTGTTCGGGGTCTCCTTCTTCTTAATGACTGAGGTAGAATCATCAATGCCCGGGTGTCTCCGCCCAACACTTTTCCGCGTGTGACCATTTAACATATTAAAATGATAAAAACCCGTGTTTCAAGATTTACGAAAACTCCCCGTAAGTTCAAAATAGAATTTTCAGTGATGGGAAAGCACCATATCATGCTTTTGTCCTACATTTTTCTGTCTCTGTGGCACAGGAAATAATGGGCTAACTTTTGACTAATGGTACCCTACCATTGATAAAATACGGTAGTTCAAGCTATTAGGGAAGTGAACCTCTGTGCAGAGAGGTGAGGGAGTAAACATGGTTTTTACATAGCTTTGCAGACGAGAAGACAGATGCAGAAAGTAAGGATCCACACCTGCAAACCCGAATGAGGGTAAAGCCTGATTTCCCCTTTACCGCTGTGCTACCCATTGTTGGCACACTAACAACGCAGGGACTGGTGACAGGCTTTGCAGGAGAGGGTGTCATCAGAAAGGAAGCAGGCAGGCACGCACAGTGCACCTGAGGGCTGGACAATGCCATTTCGACTTTTTGCTGGTCACAGACCTGTGTTGCAGAGTCGTAGGTGAAGCTGGGTGTTATCACCGTGCCCTTCGCAGAGAGGCTGACGTCGGCAATGGCAACGCTGCCCACTCCCCAGATCTCAATGTAGCCCAGCTTCAGAGGGTTTGTGTCACTGATGTACTTGTTGAAATATACATGGCTCTCCATTGTATTCTGTCAAATTGAAGACAAAAGAAACCAGAAAAAAAACAGCAAAATTTCTTCAAAAATTGTCCCCCACTTCTTTTTAGGCACAAACAAAGATCATGGAGAAAGACAACTGTCTTGTGTCCTTGTAGTGGGGACCATGATTCTGGGACTTATGTCCTGTTGCCCACTATTATCCACATTCTTATTGGCTCAAAAGCACCTGCAACGTCTTTAGAATTGCCCCGAATGCTAAGGAGACAAAGAGTCTTCGCTCTCAGGAACCTTACATTCCACACGTGAGTCAGAAAGTACAGACTATTCCAAGGCAACTTAAAAACAAGAGCTAGATAACATTGAAAGAGGGTGTCCCTCTTGGCCTTGGTAAACTGGAATAAGTTGCTGATGAAACATAAATGGGTCTGATCAAAAAAGGACTTCCTGGGAACACACTAACTCTACCTGAATCCTAGAGGAAGGGAAGGATGCCGACTAGCAAGGTGGGCAGTGAAGGACTTAAAGGTGGTGCTTTCTGCCTTTGTGATGCCCAGCACCCTTCTAAGCCAGCAGAACTCTAGTCCCCTTTGGCAGTATTGGTCACACTCACCTGGCTGGCAGAAAAGTGGGCCAGATAATAGACTCCATTTTCATAAGTATCTGCAAACAAGCAATAAGGTAAATGTGATCAGGAGTTACGCTCTGAAATTCTCATTGCCTCCCTCTCTTGGTTGAGAAAATAGGGATTGTTTCTGGGTTTTTTTTTCTTTACAGATTTCCATCTTGTGATTTAAGACCTCTTCATGGAGATTAGTTAGGCTCTGCCCCTGACCTCCACTTACACAGCATGTTTGAAATGAGCTTGTGTAGACACAGCTGTCTGGCAGAGTCACCCCACAAAATGGAGCTTCCCAACACCACCCTTTCATCCACTTCTCTTCCTTGTCATCTGCCACTCCCGATCTCCTCCTAGGCACCTGAGAACTTCCAGATTCCTTCTGCTAGAAGCACACCTATGCGAACACACACGCCTGTCCACGCATGTCACAAACACCAAGACTGGAGTCTTCATCAGTTTGTCTTAAGAGATATCAGGCAATTTCTTAAACGCAATCTGCAGTCTTTTTAACCTCAGTTTATGCTGTAGGACCAGGTAGAATAGGAAGCTCAGGTTATCCAGCACAGGTGGACTTACTAGAGCCTTATTGCAGGTATTCCCACCCTACTCCCTCCCCCTGTCGCTTGCTCTCTTGTCCCCATGTGCTCCCCTCTTTCCAATTGGCTGACCACTCATTCAACCAGAGGCCATGGACTACGCTCTAGAATTGTGCTGCCTGAGGCAGCCACTAGCAAAATGTTCCTATTTATAATTAAAATTAAGTAAAATGTAAAACTCAGTTCATCAGATGCACTTGTCACATTTCAAGTGCTCAGTAGCCACCTACAACTAATGTCTACTACATTGGACCACCAACATACAGAAGAGGTCCATCATGGCAGAAAGTTGGGTCAGATGGCATGGGCCTTGAAATGGCTAATGATACCAGAGCTGTTCCCCCAAGAGTTCACCAGTTCCTGTAAACTCCTAATGGAAAATACCCCCAAACAAAGAGCACAGTTGATAGAAGCATTATCTCTCTTACTAGGGCAATAAACCATGCAATCAGGGAATGTGCCCTTGAACATAAACCATACAGAAATATAGTCAATTGGTTGCAAAGAAATTTTTACCATGGCTCCTATTCGACTGTCTTTCACAGTGGATCTGGACAGTGGAGGGTGCTGGGAGATTCAGAGCTAAGCTTCATGTACATGAAGCATAAGGACTGAGTACATTATGTATTGCTCACCTCAAAGTAATGGCTATCTTTAAAAAATGCAAAATTGCTTTCATGTGAAAGGGGAAAAACAGGCCTTTAGGCTATCCAGGAACCTAGTCAATGCTACTGACTCGAATCTGAGGCAACCCTTACTCACCAATGCTCTGCCCATCGTCCCAGAAGAGCGAACCTTCAGCGGTCCCCTTATCGTCCAGGGCAACCTTGAAGCCCATGAACTGCTGGCGGCTGCAGTGAAGTGGGAGAGAGGCCTTAGTGAAAATCCAAGCCACAGTCTCAAACCAAGGGTTTTCAGAGCACACAGTCCTTCATGCTATAAAGACTGAGTGCTAGATTTTAAGAGACTCATGATCCACTTCCAGTTCTGTCTCCATTAGCTCTACAACTCCCTGCCAGGAGTGAATGAACTAATGACTGAAGCAAAGGGCATCTTCCTTTAAGCTTCTCCCAGTGCTACTAAAAACTTTGCACACTCGGTGGGTTCCTTCCCTTCCCCCTGTAGGGAAAAGTCCTGATGCTGTGATCTTTCTTCTCTAGGGATCTAACTTCCGAAAGACATGTACACGTGTCTTAAGTTATAAATGTCCTAAGTCCTTCAGTTTTTAACTCAGTTTTGGGACTCAAATGTACAGGGTTCTAAGAATTTCAGTGTGACATCAGAAAGACATAGATTTTAGTCCCTGCTCAACTACTTACTAATGGTGTGACTCTGAGTTCATCACTGCCTGCTCCCCAGATATCAGAGAAGCCTACACATCTGTTATGTAGGGATAATAACATACTTGCGCCATAGGGCTTGTTTTCTAGCTTTGCTTAAGGAAAACAGAAATTTCCATAGTATTTCAGTTCTAGACACAGAGCAAGCAGTCATTTGATATTAGCTATTATTTATTATAGCTAGAATTTTAAATCTGCGCATGAGGAACCTCGGCCTCAGGCATCAGCTGCTTTATGGCTCACACAATTTTTCAGCACCAAATCAGTGAAGAGCCTGCCTTCTCAAACTAGGCTAAATCGTGGTGTTCCTGTTTGATTTCAATTACCACTGAGGCAGGGGTGTCCAACCCGTCGCCCAGGATGGCTAGGAATGTGGCCCAACCCCAAAATCATAACTTTACTTATATATTATGTGATATCTTTTGTGATTACATGCCACAATGTATTTAATGTGTGGCCCAAGACAACTTGTCTTCTTCCAGTGTGGCCCAGAGATGCCAAAAGATTGGACACCCCTGGATTAGACCCAGCATCTCATCCACTCCGATCTAAGATAGTTGTTTATAATTGTTCAAAGAGGATTGTCTGAAAAAGGTTAAAAAACAAGCAAGCGATCAAACCAACCAACAAAGATATTTAGTACAACTGCGTTTGGGCCCCAGCACAGCTCGCAGATGGGCAGGCTGTGCCGGGGACCTGAGCTCACTGCCAGGGGAGGGAGGGACCAGTCCCGTCACTCACCTCGCGTGGGTGTTCAGTGCAGGCACTTGCCAGGGCAGGATGTAGCCACCCCGGACGTGGAGATTTATGTGGTCAAGAGGGGCCGACAAGGACTTCCACTCTCCGCTCGCTCCAGTGTCCACACCCTGGGAGCCAGAAGAAGGTGATACACGGTGAGGGAGAGAACACCATAGTTGGCGCCTTTACCAGACATCTGGTCCACTCTCCCCAACCAGCTGCCTGTTCACGATCCTTCCACACATGCCTATTATTACATTTCCCACAGTCACTTGGCTGCCGTGGGGAATCTTGTGTTGCTGCCACAACATCGTATCACGGTCCTTTGCCTTTTGCAGCTTCTGCAGTACCTACCACAGGTCATAGCGTGGGACTCACTCCACCCTAACTCCGCCCCTTATTTCTGTGGCCCGGACCACAGCTAGAGGAGGCTGAAAAGTGCTTTCACTCATTTCTTGTTGGCCCAACAAGGGCGTGTCTATACTTCTCTTTCACTCTTTCTCCCCTTTCTTTATCTTCACATCAACTTCACCTGTCTTCACTCCCCAACGCCCCACACCCACCAACTGAATTCACACGCTTGGCACATTTCACAGAAAAGATTAAAGTGAGCTGACTCAGTTGACAAATCTTTATCTTCCACTCACTGTGTCTTCTTTCATGCTTACATCCTGATCTTGCCTCCTGTGTGACAGGGGGAAGCACTGTCTAACCTCACTATAACCCTGAGTTCCTAAGACGCCATCCTTCCGCATTTTCTCAAGCTTTTCAACTTCAGCGCTGTGAACAACCGGGGCTGGATAATTCTGTGTTGTGCTTTTTGGATGTTTATCAGTGTCTACCTACACCTCTGCCACACGTGACAACCAAAATGTCTCTGGGTATTGTCAAATGTCTCCCCATAGTCAAAATTCTCCCATCTGAGTGCTTCTTTAGAGGTAAGGAGCAAAGCTACTGGAACATTTCTTTAATTTTGGCTCCTGGCATTTAATAAAGACTCAGTCTGTATGAAAGTGTAGGGAGAGGTGGTGGAAGGAAACTGTGTGACTGATGACACATTTGCTAGGGTGGACCTATCTGGGGACTCCATAGTCTCCGGGACTCAATAAAAATTCCAGCCTATGGCTCTGGGAATCTTTGCGGATGTCACAGGAGAATTGAATGACATGCTCCCAAATGACATTTCATACCACTGTCTTATGAATACTGCACATTTTCCTCCACTGTCCTATCTTCACCTGAAACTCAACACATGTACATTCATCAATGTTATCTCTAGGGCATTTCCATTCTCCTGCACATTATGGCTGAATATGATAAGCTTTTTCATCTCATGACTTCGTTTCCAATGCCTAGTGAGTCATGAGTTGTAGCTTCCTTAACTAGTTTCTGACCAGAATAGCCTAGCTAATTTGTGGTAAAACACCCATAAAGATAGGACTACAAGATGAAAGACAAAAAAAAAAAAAACAGCACTTTTAAAGTAAGAAAAGACAAGCCTACATGCCCCCGCGCAAGAAGTTTCCATCAACTGCACAGTCATAGATTAGGATTGAGAAGTGCTGTTTTAGAAAACCCAACCTAGGTCCCGCACTGTAAACAACCCCCAAAACGGCCACAGATAAAGCAGTGAAAACTTTGATGTATACACACCGTCTGCCTTCCCTCTTCCAAATAAAGTCTACAAACCAGAGTGCCCAGTATGACAGTAGGGAGAGGGGAGGGGGTAGAAATCCTTCATAGGATGCCCAATCCCATAGGCTTGTCTGGGGCAGTGCAGAACTTTCCAAAGCCTATAAACTGTGCAGCTTATCAAAGGACCAGAGAGTCAGGCTGATGGAGACCCAGCTTCAGTCCTATACAGCCCCTCGTGTTAGACGAAGCCCTTCACCCTGTCCTGTACTGAGGCACCCGCACTTCATAAAACAAGTGAGGCCCACAGGGCAAACAGTGAGGGATGGCTTTTTGCTTCTGATAGTGAGAGCATAGGAGGGACAATGAGGGGACAGGAGTTCCAGCCACCGAGGCAGCTACGATGTGAAGAGTCAGGATTCTCAAGAAATGGGAACCAGTGAGATAGGAGTCTTATTTACATTGTCTCCCCCATTCTTCGCTCAGGTTCCACTGGACAAGCAGCAAGCAAATTGTGCACAAGTGGTGACTGGAAAGCTAAGTAGGGCTTTCTTATTTTTTCCTCCTATTTTCCATCTATGCCTCTTTGTTCTGCCTCCTCAGTAATTTCTTAGGCTGCATTTATTATTTATTTTTAAACAAAATTTTAAATATCTGCATCATGCCTTTAATTTCCAAGGATTGTTTCGTGAGGATACCTGTTTATAGTATGATTTATTATTTTAAATATAATTATCAGTTTATCATTCTGAGGATATGAATTCTCTAGTAAACTTTTAAATAGCATAGGAACAGAAGAGGTCTCAAATCATAAGCATACGATGCAATAAAATTTTACCAAATGAACATACCCATGAAATCACCACCTAGCTCAAGGAAGGGGTAGTAGCAGATTCCAGAAGGTTCTCTCATTCCCCCTCATAATAAGCACCATATGAAAGGTAGCTACTATTCTGATTTCTATCACTTGTTCCTGTTTTTGAAATTATATTTGATAAATGGGATTCTATGTTCTTTACTTTCTTGTGTAGAGCTATTTGTGCTCAATATTATGTTTATCATTTCCATTTCTGTAGCAATAGGTCATTATTTTCATTGCCCTGAAAATGCTATTTTCATAAGCATTCAGTTTGAAAAATGTAATAACATTTATTTGTCCATTTTACCATTGATGGACATTTGGTTTATTTCCAGTTTTCTGCTGTCTTACAGATGATGCTGCTATGAAATATTTTTGGAGATCTCTTTTGGTCAAAATATATATATTCTAGGGATAAATATATAACATTTATTATTTCTCCCCAGATACATGTACATAACATATTAATGTAATATATAATGTATAATATAATATATAATAATATAATGACATATTATATGTATTACACATGATTAATATAAATCCTAGTGCAAGTATGCTTTATTTCCTAGATTGATAAAATTGTTTTATGTCTTCTGGGAGAATATCTGAAAATAACAATCAAAAACACTTCTGAAAAGGATGAGGGAACACTAGTCTGCCACACATTAAATTGTACTGGAAGGATACAACCATTAAAAATGTTCCATACCGACAGAATAACAATAAATTAACAAATCAAAAATAGAAAAGAGAAAATTCTTTCAGATAAATTCTAGCATATATAAGAACAGTATATTATAAAAATGGTTAGCAAACAAAAATATTGGAAAAATTGAAAGGGAATTTGAAAGGGAAAAACTGATGTCTTATTCACTAAAATGAATTCACTAAATGAATCCTAGGAACCTAAAACATTAATTTGACTATATGGTAGTCAAAATCTCTATCTAAAGTCATAATCAATTGAAAAGCAAATATCAAAGTACAAATATGGCAAAGTGTTATTAACTTAAATATGCACATATAATTTAAAATTAGTGGGAACAGCTTAAATATCTTCATAAGAAAATAGCAAAAGGATAAAGGTCACAGAAGTATAAATGGCCTGTCAAAAATAATTGCAAATCAAATCAACAATGAACATTAGAAATTACATTGCCTGTAAGAGTCATACAAAGATGAGCATAAAAATTAAAAAAAAAAGAAAATGTAATAGTCAAAACTGACAAAGTGTTAGGGAGATGAACAGTCTCATCAAGTGCAAATGGGAATATAAATTGTTTCTGGAATTTTGCCAATTTAAATTAAGAATTCTTGTATTAAGCATCTTCTCAGGCTAGAAATGTACATAGCCACTGGGTGATGGGTGGTGTGGGGCATGTACTAGGTTACATTCTCTTGAACATACAAGACGGAAATTTAGACTAACTTGATGTTCAGCTGAATGGAAGGGACAGAAATGTAGGCTCAGTGCAGAAGCGGTAAGTATATGAGTTGTGCGTCACCTCCTGCCTCACAGAAGCCTGCAGCAACCTGTGCGACACTAGAAAAACCTGGTGTTTAGGAACAAGTTCTGCTGGAATCCTGTGCTGCAGGTGGAGAGCCTATCTCCATCCTTATTTACCAAGTCCAAGCATTTTTCTGTGCTCTTGCCAGCATCTGTGAAACACCCCTCCTCTCCTTCTCTTAAAATGTTAAATGAGATAAGAGTATCTTTATTGGTACTTCTGTAAATTGTCACTAGGATTGGGTATAAAATATTAAGTCATACTAATATTTTCACCTAATCCCATTGCAACCCCCTTGGTGGAAGGGGGCTGGAGCACGCTCTGCCTCTTGTCCCCCTGCTACCTCCTCTCTGAGCCATCTTCAGCCCTCCGCCTTGTTCTCAGAAAATCCAGGAGAGGAGGCCTGGTTAAGGGAGAGGAAACTCTCCCGGGACCCTTCCTCAAGAATGCTGCCCTGACCCAGAGAATAGCATGATGCCAAGTGGAATATTACGTCAGACAGGAAAAGGTAAGAACCATGTGATTTCACTCCTCTGTTGAATATACAACAACACATAATAAACAAACAAACCAGACAAACAGAAAGTCCTAGACACAGATAATAGTATAGCGCTTATGAGACAGAGGGGCGGGGGTCGGTACAGGGGGCAGAGGGTCAACCATATATATACACAGTGATGGGAGAAGATTTGACTTTGGTTGGTGAGTACACAGTGCAATGCACCACTGTAGAATTGTGAACTTGAAGCCCATATAATTTTCTTAAGCAGTGTCACCCCAATAAATTTAACAATTAAAAATAGTGCTCTGAAGCTGCTTCTGAAGGCCTTGCATTCCCAGATGAGTTTCTGGGGTACAGACTAGGGTAGAAATGTTCCACCACCGAGAATGCTGTGCTAAGCAGGCACTTCTCAGTGCGCTTGCCCTGCCCGGGGCACCAGGGTGGGGCCCAGAGCTCAGTGCACTTCACACAGGGCCTAAGACCTCGCTCCCCCTTGGAGTTAGGTTTAACAGCTCCTCCTTGAACATCTCTGCTATAGAAGATCTGAGACACAGAGAGGAAGAGGATGAACTTGCAGTCTAGCAGGGAAGAATTAAACAAAAACTACAGATTCCAGCACTTCCTGGTGTTACCATTGTACGCCACTGCAAATGGTGCTGGTATAAGTAAGGAAAGACAAACACTAACACATAAAGAACACGCACGGAAGTCAGGCAGTGAGTGAGATGCTTTGTTGTGTGTTATTCACACTTCTGTGAAGGAAATGGTCTTCTGGACTTGGAGGTGAGAAAATAGAGCCTACAAGGTTAAAAGTGATAGGTCAAGATCAACATCAGGTGGGTCTCAGAGCCACGATGGCAGCGGAGGTCGGCCAGGGGCTAACACCCGGGCAGACTCTTGCTTTCCCTGGTCCTGTAAACAATCAGAGAAACTTACCGTGTAGTAGTCATACCAGCGGGCCCTAGGGAAGTATGCAGTGACATTTCTGACATTCTGAAATTAAGCACAAACACGTCATGGGCAGTGGGCTCAGGAATCTAAGGGAAGAGTACCCTACTTCACGACCTTTGACCCACATGCTTCACCTCTCTAGGGGTCAGGATTGTGGGGGAAGCCTTCCTCTGTCCCTGCTTCAGACAGGGGAGATTGGTCTTCCCTAAACTAGTGCCTTCAGGATTCGGGACTTTGGGGAGAAATTATTATTTGCTTATAGACTTAATTAACCCACACATACCCTCTCAAAAAACAAAGAGGCTGGGTCTGGGGCAGAAGAAATTTTGTTAGGTTTTATGCCGCCAGTACTTCGGAGATTATAATTAGTGCAGCAAGTTTTGGAGAAGATGCAGTTAACTGTGGTTTTAAGCAGAAGCCTGGTCATCAAGAGAAAAAGTGAGGAGATGGCTTTTGCTACCACAAGAGCACCCACAGAGGAAGGGCAGGGCTAGCCCTCAACCACAGGATTATATACCTTGTCCCAAGCAACCTTTATGTAAAGGTCTGTGTTAAAGGTGCAAGAGAGCTGTACCAAATTTCTGCAGTACTGCGCCTACTTGACCCACACTCCTTATTTCAGTTAATGCAGAAATGATTACATCTCCAAATATACCACAAGGTGTTTCCCTTCTCAACTGTCCTATGGATCAGAATGTGTTAGGATGATTTTAAAGATGAGGGAGCTGAGGGCGGCAATGCCTAAGTGATGGGCTTCAGTTCAGAGGGAGAGGAAGGGACAAAGGCAGGATAAGGTACCACTGGACCCCTGCCAGTTAGGCCTCTTCTCCTGGCCCCACTCGCCAGGTTTTGTAACTGGGACCCCTGCTCAGCAGAGACCTCGTACTCACAGGCTCCAGGACAGGGCTGACCAGGAAGGCAGGGCCCAGCAGGAACTGCTTGTCTATATTCCAGGTCACTCGGTCTGACACAAACCTGCAAAGGCAAAGCAAGGGGCCACCATCAGGACTCCAATGGGGGCCCAGGCCAAGGCCTTGAAGAAATTCCTCAAGTTCAGACCCAAGTCTGAAACCCAGCTTCTCTAACTTAAGTTACTTTCTCTCCCTCAATCACATATGCATTCACCCGCTACATGGCATGTTCTTCAAACTCCAGACATAATTGGATTTATACATTTTCTCACCTATAAACACCTCCAGGTGTCTTAACCATGGCACATCCTAAATGCAGGAAAGGCCTTTGTCCCTCAAACCACCCCTAGAATGCCTTGTGACCTGAGCTTCTATAAAAGATGGGTAGGTCCTTGCACGCCCGGTTTAGCTGGACACTCACTCATGGAGAAGAGGCCGCACAACAGTACTGCCCTGTGCGTGGGCCAGGTGCATCAGGGTGTAGAGGTACGGCAAGAGGGCGTATCTAGTCTGCAGGACACGTTTGGAGATATTCACAAATGTATCATCCCAGGACACAGGGTCTTGCCTCTACAGGAGGGAAAAAGGAGTTGTAGAGCTCACCATAGGAGACTTATTATTGCAAATGAAAATCACATATAGTTAAATCAAAGAGGACTGTAGATGAGACTCAAAGAATATTCTTTACAGATCGAAAAAATCACTGAAGCTCTCCCAGGACAGCCGATAAAATTTTCCAGTAAGACATTCTTTTGGGGATCAAGCTGATACAACATGGCCTAAATGAAAAGACTACTCTAAAGAACACTGAAGAAGATGGTTCATTGAAATATGAGGATCTTTTTGGGAACCTACTGGCCATTTGTGTGTCTTCTTTGGGAAAATGTCCATTCCATTCCAGTGTCCATATATTAATCAGCTTGTTTGGGTTTTCCTGTGGTTGAGGTGTACGAGAGCATGACATATTTTGGATATTAACCTGTTTTCAGATATATGGTTTGCTAATATTTTCTCATATTCCATAGGCTGCCTTTTCATTTTTTTTAATTGTTTCTTTGGCTGTGCAACAGCTTTTAAGTTTGATGTCATCCAATTTATTTATTTTTGTTTTTGTTACTTGTGCCTTCAGTGTCCTAGCAAAAAAAAAAAAAATCATTTTTAAGACCAATGCCAAGAAACTTTTCCCCTGTTTTCTTCTGGGAGTTTTATGGTTTCAGGATTTATGATTAAGTCATTAATCCATTCTGTGTTAATTTTGTGACTGAGAAGATAGGGGACCAATTTTATTTTTCTACATATTTTCCCAACACCGTTTATTGAAGAGACTAACTTTTACTATTGAGTATTCTTGGCTCCCTTGTCAAATATCAGTGGACTGATAATGCAAGATTTTATTTCTGGGTTTTCAATCTGTTCCATTGATCTATTTCTACTTTTATGTCAGTGTGATACTGTTTGGATGACTATAGCTTTGTGATATAGTTTGATATCAGGAAGCAGGATGCCTCCAGATTTGTTCTTCTTCTTTAGGATTGCTTTGGCTATTACCAGTCATTTTCATTCCATAAGACTTTTAGGGTTTTTTCCCTATATCTGTGAAAAATTCCATTGGAATTTTGCTAGGGATTGTATTGGATATATAGATGGCAATACAGATATTTTAGGAATATTAATTATTCTGATTTATGGACATGGGATCTTCTATTTGTGTCTTATTCAATGTCTCTCATTAATATCTTATAGCTTTCAGTACACGGATCTTTCACCTCCTTATTTCACCTTAAATTTATTCCTAGGTATTTCATTGTTTTTTGATTCTGTCATGAATGAGAATGTTGTCTTTATTTCTTTTCATGCATTTCAATGTCGGTGTATAGAAACAGAACTTATTTCTGTATGTGGATTTTGTATCCTGCAACTTTACTGAATTGATTGATTAGTTTTAATAGTTTTTTGGTAACATATTTAGGTTGCTCTCTTTATAAGACCATACAAACTATAAGGAGAGACAGTTTACCTCTTCCTTTCTAACTTGAATGCCTTTTATTGCTTTTCTCATCTGATTGCTCTGGCTAGAATTTCCAGTACTATGTTGAACAGGAGTAGTGAAGGTGGAAACCCTTGTCCTGTTCATGACCTACAGAAAAAGCTTTCAGACTTTCACTATTGAGTATGCAGTAAGCTGTGGGCTTGTCTCATATGGCCTTCATCATGTTGAAGTACATTCCTTCTGTACCCAAGTTGTTGAGAGTTTTTATCATGAAAGGATGTTGTAATTTGTCAAATGTTTTTTCTGCAGCTATTGAGATAATCATATGACTTTTTATTTCATTCTGCTAATGTGGTATACCACGTTTATTGATTTGTGTATGTTGGACCATCCTTCCAGCCCAGGGTTAAACCTCACGTGATCTTGTTGTGTGACTCTTTCAACATCCTGTTGAATTTGGTGTGCTAATATTTTTGTTGAGAGTTTCTGGATCTATATTCACCGGGAATATTGGCCTGTAGTTTTCTTCTACTGAAGTGTCCTTACCTGGCTTTAGTATCAAAGTAATTCTGGTCCTGTAAAACGTGCTTGGGAGTGTTCAATCCTCTTCAATTTTTTTGTAGAGTTTGGAAAAGACTGGCATTAGTTCTTCTTTAAATGTTTCATAGAATTCCCCAGGGAAGCCATCTGGCTTTTCTTTGGTGGGAAAAAATTTTTTTATTACTAATTCGGTTTTCTTACTCATTATCAGTCTTTTCCAATTTTCTATTTCTTCATGGTTCAGTCTTGGTAGGTGGCATGTTTCTAAGAATTTATACATTTCTTCTAGGTTAGCCAAATTGTTGACATGTAATTAATTATTTATGGTAGCCCCTTATGATCCTTCGTATTTCTTTGGTATCAGTTGTCATGCCTACTCTTTCATTTACAATTTTATTTATTTGAGGCTTCTTTTTTTTCCTTAGGAAGTCCAGCTAATGGTTTGTCAACTTTGTTTCTTTTCAAAGAAATAGTTCTTAGTTTTGCCAGTTCTTTTCTATCACTTCTCTGGTCTCTATTTCACTTATTTCTATTCTAACTATTGTTATTTCCTTTCTTCTGCTAACTTGGTCCTTCTTTTCATACTTACTTGTATAAAGCTAGGCTGTTTACTTGAGATCTTTCTTTTTTCTTAGTGTATGAGTTTATTACTATCAACGTACTTTTTAGAACAGAATTTGCTACATCCTGTAAGTGTTAGTGTGTTTTTTCCATTTTCATTCATTTCAAAATATGTTTTTGATTTATCTCTTGAATTCTCTTTTGACCCATTGGTTGTGTAATTCATACACATTTGTCAATTTTCTAGTTTTCCTTCTCTTACTGATTTCTAGTTTCCAAAGAAGAAATGCAAATGGCTGACAGGTACATGAAAAGGTGCCAAACATCACTAATAATCAGGAAAACACAGATCAAAACCACAAGGAACTATCACCTCACACCTGTTAAAATGGTTATTATCAAAAAGACAAAAGAAAACAAACAATGGTGAGGATGTGCAGAAAAAAACCCCTTGGGCACTATGGGCAGGAATTGGAATTGGTGCAGCCACTGTGAAAAAGAGTATGGAGGTCCCTTTAAAAATTAAAGATAGAACAACCATATGGTCCAAATATTCCACTATGGGTACATAGTCAAAGGCAATGAAATGTGTTTCTTGAAGAGATATCTGCACTCCAAAGTTCAATGTAGCACTATTCAAGGTAGCCAAGATATGGAAACAACCTAAGTGTCCACGGATGGATGAGTGGATAAAGAAGGTGTGGTATGTACACAACAGAAGACTATTCAGCCACAAGAAAGAAGGAAATCTGGCTATTTGCAGCCACATGGATGGATCTTTATGGCACTATGCTAAATGAATTAAGTCAAACACAGAAAGGCAACTACTGTATGATAATACTTATCTAAAACAGAGTAACCTAAAAGGGAATCTTAACAAGTAGAATTCATAGAAATAGAGAGTAGAATGGTGGTAATCAGAGAGGCTGGGTGTTGTGGGAAACAGGGAGGTGTCAAAGGATGAAAAACTTCCAGTTATAAAATAAATACAGGATGGGGAAAAAGTAGGTTTACAGTTGTTCACATGGAAAACAACACAGTAATTAATAAAGAATAATACAAGAATAAACTCTGTGTTTTGTGTACTCACAACTGTAAACCTCCTTTTGCCCCACCCTGTATGTTCCAAGGATGTAATATACAGCATGGTGAAAACAGTTAACAATACTCTACTATATATTTGGAAGTTCCTAAGAGACTAGATATTAAATTAAATGTCCTTGTTACAAAACAAATGGTAATTATCTGAGGTGATGAAGGTGTTAACTAACCCAACAGTGGTAAATCACTTTGCCTCCACTGAAGTGATTTTTTTTCATACTCTTAATATATGAGTATTGGGAAAAAAAGAAAAGAAACATGAGTATTTAACAGTTTTAAAGATGTCCCTGGGGAATATGACCAGCTCCAAGCTGGAGGCTATGTGCCCAGTGACACCCTTGTCCTACCCTCGTCCCGATGGTGTTGTGGTTCCTGGAAAAGGGGTAGAAGGCCCCCAGCTGCATCCAGCGAGTGCACATCTCATATTCAGCATCATTAAAGAACCCACAGATGTCTGCTCCTGTCTGAGACAAGATGGAATAAAATAAGCTTGTTGGTGATTTCTGAAAGGCATCACCATCTTCTTGGGTAACAGGAGGGACCCAAAGGGCACTTACATAGGATATGCCAAAGAGGCTGAACTCCATCATGCCTGCAACGAGAGCCGCGGCAGTGTCAGACATGCCACTCCAGGCCTGCTTGCCCCGCCTCCCAGAGCACCCCTCAGCGGGCTCCCCCCTTCCCCTCCCCGCCAGCGTGGTCCCTGGGATGACCACGCACCGATGATAGATTTCTGCAGCTGGTCCCACGCAGCTGTGTTGTCTCCCAGCCAGTGTCCTGCCCAGCAGCCAGACGAGGGGAATGTGGAGCGGGTGATGACGACCCCTCGCTGTCCTGTTACCTCCTGCACAGCTCTGGTTGGAGGGGCACAGGGAGGTGACTGAGATCAGAACAGGAGAAGTAAGGCCACAAAGCATTTCCCCCCAGAACTTCTGACCCTAGGGCATGGTGACAAAATGCCTCCTGATACTGAAGGGAGTATGAAGACGTGAGCTACAGTGAGCTCCCCGCTGGCCACCCATAGTGATGGGGAGGACAGTAACAGTTATACCTTCAGAGTGTTTATGGTGCTTTACAAAGACTTCACCTTGTTCTAAACTCACTGCATCACTTACAACAAGAAGAAACCACCAAATCTTACTCTTTATACATTTAGTACTTAGTTTTATATATTTGGGAAGGAAGAAGATGAATTCCTTTTTTTAAGGCTTTCCTCAGGATAATTCTTATTACTCACTGACCAAGCCCACAAAATGGGACAGTGTCGATTCAGTGGGACACCAGTTGGCTATCCAGCAAGAATGACCAGAAAAAAAAATTTCCAAAGAGATTAAGTGACTTTTGAAATAAAGGAGCTATCCAGTCCTTTACATCCTCTTTTCTTCTCATAACTCACGTTACAGCATCAGCTGCACTCTGTGACAATGGCCTTGGTCATCTCCTCCAGGACTTGGACACTCACTGGCAGGTCCAGCCCTTATGTAAACCTGTCCTGGTAACTATGACCTCAGGGCCTAGCTCCATGCTTGAGAGTGTTTGTCTAATAAGTAAGAATTGCTCCATAGTTGTAATTAAAACCTTTTAAACCCCACTGGGAGAGGGAATTGGAGGAGACACAGGACCGCTTCATCAGTTGCTGGCTGTCCCTGTGGGTTGTGCCAGTAGGTGGAGACGACCACTCACTCGTATGTGGGTCTGGTCTGGGACCACCCATACAGGCTGTGCACGTCGTAGTGCCGCACCCGGGAGCCGTCGGGCAGGACCTGCTCGCTCTCCATGCACAGGGTCTTGCTGCTCAGACCCTGGTCCCTGGACTCCAAATCTGCAGAGAAAGAGCTAGTGATGGGAAAGCCATCCTTGGCCCCGTTTGTCCCTGACCTCACCTCAAGGGATCGAACTCAACATCTGCATTGGTCCTTCTCCTTCCCAGAGGCACAGGAACGTGTGTCTCCAACATCAAGTCCTCTGGAGTGCTCTCCAGGAAAAGGCCAAGGGCACGGGGAAAAGCACAGAGTTGTCAAACATTGTGTGATGGGCTCTTGACCTAGGCTTTCAATATGGTAATTATGTTACACCATCCTTAATTCTGTGGGGAAGATATCATTATCCTCTCATAGTTTAAAAACCTGAGATTTGGAAACACCGAGTAATCTACTGAAGGTCATACAACTCACAGAGAGAATAATTTCTAGGCCCAACATATAAACACAAGGATGACGCCACAGCCCATCAACTCCATTGTACAGGGAGACTGATATTGTACAGGGTGCCTGTACCAGCACCTCCGTGTGGAGGGGTTAACATAAGCCTGAAGAAGTAAGGGATGTAGCTGTCGAATCCTTTGGAGACATAACCACTGTTAAGTGTTTTTTGAACAAGCACAAAAAACTCACTCAGTGGGGCCAGTGATTTTCACACACCAACTAAGTAAAGAGCTTGAAGTGAGTTTGTCATGCCCTTGACCCGCCCACCCCAAAAAAACCCAAAAGCACTACTGCAGATGTGCCCTGAGCAGTGAGGTTAAGCCCCTCGACACTGGCTCCTACAGGGGTCACTCCTGTGGCCAGGACCTTGCCAGGAGAGGAGGCCCAGGGTCCTTACGTGGCATATAGGGAGGGTGGTTCAGGGTGGTGTCCTTGCAGCCTGGAGGCACTGCCCCATTCACAAAGCTGGCAGGTTCGTTCATATCCTAGAATGTCAAACACAGACGTATCTCACTGTTCAAAATAGTTACAGGCAGTCTATCAGAGAGGAGTAATAGTGAATAAATTATTCACCCTCCAGTCATTTAATCCAGCTGAGAATGGACTAGAAAGATCAATTAAGCCCTATAGAATGACTGGCTAGAGGATTTTTTTTTTAATTCTCTTTCAGAATTGTGAAGTGAGTCTCAGTTCCAAGAAACGTCTACTAATCACCATGTGGCTCTACAGCAGGCACAGGTAGCAGGGTACAAGGTCTGAGGACTACGGGGCTGGTCTCCTCCCAATGGGAGGAGCCGCAGTCTGACACATCCAGAGTCTCTCTGGGGTGATTGTAACCTCTCTTGGTGAAAGGTCAGTGATACAGACACCTGGATACACGGAGAGAGACACATCCCTGCTCACATGTACACAGACACAAACACTCACAATCCACATGCCATCGAACTTCAAGCTCTTCTCAGGATCCCTTGGGTTGGAGTATAGTTCTTGCATCTCCCTCTTCCACCAGGTGGCAGTTGAATTGCGGAAAAAGTCTGGGAAAGCCACATAAGCTCGGTATTGCTGTGGAAATCAATTATAATTTATTTGTCACAAATATATTAGACAGCAAACAGGCATTTATGAGAATTTAATTCATGCATAGCCTTCGGTTATCTATGGTGATAAGTAACCTGAACAGAGTCAAAGTAATGTTCTTCCTCATTTCAAATACCAGAGTGCAGAAGTGGGGGGAATTAGCACAAATGAGGCACCTCCTTAACATCTGGAAAGCGTCCCGAGACTGACTTCCTCTCCACATCAAGGTGAACAGTAGCAGCGAGGACCGCTAGACCTCACTATCTCAAGTCCTGGATGCCCAGCCCTCAACTTCCATCTGCAGTTCCCTAAGCACGCCTCAGAGACAAAGCATCAGCCAGGGAGGCCTGAAAGGGGCAGACGTCAGGTGCCCTGTCAACACGCTGCAAAGGAACTTCCAGTTGATTCTCTCCTGTCTCATTCCCACTAGGGAAAGGGGGTGAGAAGCAAGATAGCACCTGTGGGTCAAGTTAAGTTGGGAGGACTTGAGGAGGTTGCAACTGCCCCTTCCTTTTAATTTCCTCACACGATAAAAGGCACATCTTTATTAAAATAAAGCCTGGAAAGTAGACCCAAGGTAAAACTCCTTAATACAGTGTAAGGTGTTTGAGAGCAAGGACCCTGTTGCGTTGTCCTCTGATTGAGCTCTGTATCCCCCCACAGTGCTCGGCTTAGGACCCAACACAAATAAACAGTGAGTAATTGTGAACTCACACTGCTTAGCAGCAGCGAACACTCATCAGTTTCTATATAGGTCGTGTTGCTTGTTATGGAACTTTATGGTTCTTGGTATGTCTCCGTAAATGGGTTCTCTGTGTTCACCAGTGCATTTTAAGAGATAAAAAGCTCAATAAGGCTGATGGTAAGGGTAGGGGAGCAACAGCAAGAAGGCCTGGTTGAGGGAACCTCCGGCTCTTATACACGAGAGACAAAAGGAAAGGAGGAACACGCAAGTCTAGATAAAAGGCAAAGAAAGAACAGGAAGAAGAAAACAGAAGCAGATCAGTATGTGGGGATTTGGCTCACAGAGAAGTGGGCAGGGAGTGAGCCACTTCGGAGAGATTTTGTGATAGGAGGCAGGCCAGGGACACCTCTTTGTTAGGAAACTAAGATGGACACATGGAACTGGAGGAAGAGAGTGTTTCATCAAAGGCACAGACCGCCAGCTCGGGCAGGTTGGAAAACACAGGGAGGGCAATGGAGGATTGGAATAAGATTAATAGCAGCTGTGTCTAAGTCACTTTTTAATACAATAAATCAATTAAAAGATAGACATTCCCAGCAACCCTGATGTCCCCCCCCCCACATCCACAAAGGCCCTTTACCTCCACTTGGCTGTCCCAGTCCAGAGAGCTGTTTATGACAATGTTAGGGAAATCGGGCCAGACCTGCGGGGAGAAGAACACTCAAAGCAGTGCAGCAGGTGATCCCTCTCACACAGCACGTCCTGAGGGACAGTGCGCCATGGTCCCACAGGTGTGCACACAGTGACTGTCATGCAGGACCGATCTAGACAGAAGTGCATCTCACAACACACACGTTGACAGGTATCGACTGACAAAATGAGAACTTCTGACCCCAGAGCCCCAGTGGAAAAGGTCAAACGACAACAGGCACAGACACATGAACAGTGACCCGTCCCCAGGCTGCACCAGCGCTGTGATCAGACCTTTCCCCAGACGATGTCTCCACCATTAGGAGCCTTGATGAAGACGTCTTCTGCCACACCCCGCGTGAACGCAGGGTAGGGCTGTGTCTCATTTCCAGAAATGGCTGGGTCCTAAAACCAAAGCACAGGTCAGCGAGAAAACCAAAATGGGAGACAGAAAAACAAACCCAGAAAAACTCCTCAAAAGACAGGCAACCCCTGCCACCTGAACTGTCGAGCTTCTGTGAATCCCAGAAAACATACTTTTCTTTTTGACTCTCAACTTCTCTAGTTGGAGCATGGAAGGAAACACAATCACATATAAAGCCTTCTCCACCAACGCTCATTCGCTCCCCGAAGCAGGCCCCTCGCAATCACACTGACCAGAATGAGGATGAACCGCATCCCATCGGCCTTCATGCGAGAGATCAGAGCTGGGAGTCCAGTAAAGTTGGGGCTGAGGGTGAAGTCCAGCTGCCGCTCCATGTAGTCGATGTCCGAGTACTGCACGTCCTGGGGGCACACGAGGGGACTGAGTGGCTGGTTATAAAAGTCCACGCTCCGCATGTGAATGACCCGCCACTAACCCAACCGGCAGTGAACTTCAGACGTGTCTTTCTGATTCTTTCAAATCCTAGTCCTGTCACTTGTTAGGCATTAGGTTCAGGGAAATCTACTGAACTTTCTAATTTTCCTTTGTAAAATGCAAAAATCTAAATTAGCAAAACATCAGATGACAATGCTTATCTGGACAGGGCTGTTTTGAGGATAAATGTAAACAGTGGGTGAGGAAGTAGCCAATATAAGGAGTGACTGTGGTTACTCCCTGCGAGTAGCTGCCCTGGTATCAGTGGTTCAAGTTCAGAGAAAATAACAACGTCAATTACCCAGTATGAACACCACACGGATGGTGAATCTACCAAAAACAAAACAAAACCTCTAATTGCTTTGGAATAGCCAATCCCAGGGATTGATAAACACAGATTTCTTATTAAGAATTAAATATTGCAGGCTGTACTTTCCTTTGGTAGAAACAATGGTAAATCATAGGAAATAAACAGAATGAAATTAAATACAGAGTTGGCAGAGTAGGTTGACAGTTGTTTGTATGGAATACAATACAATAATACAATAATTAATAAATAACAGTACAAGAATAAACTGTGTTTTGCATACTCACAACTGTAAACCTACTTTTGCCCATCCAGTATGTAATAGGTTCGCAGGATCAATTCTCTTATTGGACCCCTCTCATCCTTAAGTGGAAGGGTTCTCTTCCACATGCATACTTCTGGAAGCTGGTTCCAAGATCCCTACATTCAACCTGGATTAGCACAAAGCTGGGGGAACACTGTGCTCCAACACTGGAGAAGTGTTGGAACTGAGATTCTAACTACATGCACACAGCCTGACTGAATTTGGGTTGATTTTTTAAAACTTAAACAATACTACTCTTTGGGGGATCCTTTCATTCTTATGGAACCAAGGATGTTTTAGACAGAATTTTTTGAAGAATCGAAGCAGAAATGGAAGCATGAATGAGCAGAAGGAGCCCTGAAGCTGGCCCTCTGTCCTCCTCCTTTTACAAATTGCTGTGCCTCTAAGGTGGGGACCATGACCCCCACTTGTATTACTGGGCTGGGGTGAGGTTCAGTGTGGCACTGCATGAGAAAGCACTTCGTAATCTTACAGAACCCTGTGGAAATCAGACAAATGAATCCAGATAGAGAGATGGCTGGGCTGGGCTGGGCTGGGCAGTGAGGACCCAGAGCAAGTGCCCCACAGGCTGAGAACGTACGTAGGGGACCCGGGCAGCCACCATCTCATCATACAAGCTGGCGATCTCAGAGTCGTTCTGGTACCCATAGCGGCACAGCTGGAAGCCCAAGGCCCAGTACGGAACCATCACTGGCCGACCAATCAACTGGAAAACAGACAGAAAACATTAATGCTTAAAAAGAAGAATCTGGCTCGAAGTCATACACAAAGTAATAAGAATTCTAGTGCTCCAAGTTAGACAACCAACAAATTCAAATCCAGAGAGAGACTGAGAAGATGCACAGCCACCGGAGTAGCTTGGAGACAGCCTCTTGCTAGAGGACCTCCCTCCCCAGGAATTTTGGGAAACCTGATTTTACTCTGACACCTAGAGGCAGTCCAGCATACTGGGTAAGGACACAGAACCCAAAGGCAATGTGCTTGGGCTCCAACACCTGCTGGCTGTGTGACCCTGCGCAGATGTTAAATTACTTCTTAAACATCAGTTTCCTCACTTGTAAAGTGAGGATAATAATAGCACTTGCTTCATGGTATTTTTGTAAGGATTGAATGAGCTAATATGTGTTTGTAAAGTGCTCTGACATGAACTATTATATTAGTGACATACAGTAAATTATATATATATATATATATATGTTTATTGCTGTTGCCGAAACAACTGTCATGACTACCATCAACACCACCACCACCACTGCACCACCACCACCACCAGCACTTCCGCCAATATCACCACTATATTATCATCACCATTACCACCACCAACCACCACCACATCCTCATATCACCAAGAACCACCATCACCACCACCACTATCACTACCACAACTACTACAACCACCACCTCCACCATTATTACCACTATACTACCATCATCATTACCACCAACAACAACTATGTCATCACACCACCAGGCGTCATCACCACTATCACCATCACCATCATCACCACCACCACCATACTACCATCACTTTTACCACCACCAAGAACAACCATATCATCACAGCACCACTACCATGGCATCACCACCAACCACCATCACTGGCACCATTAATTCTACTTCTCTGAGATGCTTTGAGAGGCTATGAATTTAATGATTATTAGGATGTATATATTGTTCCCTGTTTTATAATTTCCCCGTATCCCAGTAAGACCAATGATCCAGTTATTATCTGAGGACTATACTGATGGTGGGTTTTGGAACACAAAATATACTGTTTAAATACTTGGTAACCAATTGAATTCCTCTTACCTCAGTGTACTGCTGAGTGACAAGCTCGGGAGTTGGCCCCAAGAACACATAAAAATCCAGAATCCCCCCCGTGGTGCGGTATGTCAGGGCTGGCAGGGGCTGGAATGTCACATCTGCAGACGTAGAAAATACCACTCAAACTGCAAACCTTTGACATGAGGAGCTACCCCTAAAATGCATAACTTCTCCCTCTTCCTGTGCCTCCCTATTGCAAGAAAGTACTTTGTACTATACCCATACAGAATTGAAGAAATTAAGTGAACATCTACAGGGTTCCATCTCTGGGCTTTTTTCCCTTTAGTGTTCTTTAATATCTTATTATATGTCTTGTCATTCTTTTAAATTAGTATAACTTTTATTTTAGAATAGTTTATGGCATATAAGTTGCAAAAAGCATACCAAGTGTCCCCTTATAGGCATTACCCAGTTTCCCGCAATGACAGTATCTTCCATAACCACTGGACACTGTCAAAACAAGAAACTGACACACATATAATACCATTACCTCAGGTATAGACCTTATTCAGACTTCATCATTTTTTACACACATGCTTTCCCCTCTGCCTCCCAATTTTCTAACCACTTTCCAATATCCTACACAGATGTTCTTCACATCCTCATACCCACACAGAGTCCTCTGACCCGTAACTTCAACACTAATTCAATTTAGATAAATAGCTCCCACTGGCTGACCTCCAGAACATTTGGACCTTGCTTGGTTTTGCTATCCTTTCGTACATGATTTTTTTCCTGTCCTCACCTGAGAACATTTTTTGTCATTGCTTTCAGAGAGAGAGAGATAAACATCAACTGGTTGCCTCTCACACACACCCCAACCAGAGATTAAACCTGCAACCCGGGTATGTGCCCTGATCGGAAATTGAACCTGCAATCCTTTTGTCTACAGAACAATGCCCCAATCAACTAACCCACTCTAGCCAGGGCTATTTTTACATGATTCTTGCCAAAAAAAAAGTTTAGTTAATTCTTATTAACACATGTTACTGAACTGAAAGAAACAGAAAGATGAAATAGAAAATCTATGTAAAAAATACTGCTCACAGAATACCGATTTTGACCTCAGGCTGCAGCTAGGTCAAACACATTCTGAAGTTTCTCAAGAATGATTGGTTCACAGAAATAAGGGGAGAGGCTGGCATCATCTTACCCATGGCATTGCTGTTGAGCAGAAGCACTCCGTGGGCACTGCCGTCCTCCTCCAGGCCCATGTAGTAGGGGTGGACGCCATAGGAATTCTTCTTGTACTAGGAGAGTCATGACAAGAAGTGGTGAGAGGTTAAAAGTCACTGTGGCTGTAAAAGACACTTAGACAGAAATTAATTGGTAAGATGTGTCTAATCTTCTCTGTGAGATAAATTAAATGCATAAGAAACAAGGAGCCTGAGAACTGGCCCACTGGTCTAGAAGCAGAACGTGACCGCCTGTGGTGGGCCTGGGAGGATGAACTGGGAAGCGTACACAGTATGGATGGAGGGGGGCAGACATCCAGACCCCCACCTTACCCCCGGGGGCTGGTCTCGGGAGAACATCCCCCACGTGTGCCAGTTCAAGTTTCTCTGAAAGGCGGTGTGCTCATTTTCTCCAAAACCATAGATATACTGGGAGGGAAGGCGAGTGGAGATGCGGATGAACAGGTCGTTGAAGGTGAAGCCCAGGAGCTGAGAGTCCCAGCTGCAACACAAAAAGGGTGGATTTGGGAAAGAAATGGGCTGTTCTGTTGGCTCCAAACAGCTGATTTTCGAAGGACAAGTAAACCCTTGATTCCCTCGTCCCCCACCCAGAACCCTGCTGATCTCCCAAATGGAACAGAAAGTCCACTTGATTAAATAACCATAGATGCCTTTGCTAAAAGCCTGGGAGGAGCTTCATTCCTTATCTGCCTGCATCACTGCCTTCCCTCAGCTCCCCTCCAGAGTGACCATCTCATCACATGCTCCCCCTGATTGCTTCCACTCCGTAACAACCCCAGCTTCCGCACTTGCTCCCCTACAGCCCATTGGCTATGAAGTGTCCAGGGTGAGATTTTTCCAAGTATCTCACAGTATGTCAGGATCCTTTCACAATTCTTCAGTGATTTCCATTACAGCATCCTATGAAGTCTTCAAGGCCATACCTGACCTGAAACCTTCCTAAACCCCAGCTTCATCTCCCATCACTCACCTCCCTGCTTACAACACTGCACCAACCATATTGGCCATTTCTCCCCCTAATGTGCCAAGTTTGCTCACATTTCATGGCCAGAGCATTCTCTAGCTCCTCTGTCTAAAGTGTTCTTCCCAGCCCCTCAGACTTCTACAGGGGTGCCTCTACCACCTCAGCCGGGTCCTATTTTCAGTGTCACCTCATTGGACAGATCTACTCCGACCACAGTATCCAAAGCAGTGGCCTTCCGTAAGTCTCAATCACACTGCTCTTTTCCTTCTTAGCATTTGTCACGATCCACATTTGCATTTTAACGTGTCACAATCGTTATTTATCTTTTCACCTGAATTGCCTTTGTGATTTAGTTATTATTTTTTGTCATGAAACATGAGGCCTTGTCATCTATAACCGCATAATAGGGACAAGGCTCTCCCATAAATGTGTGTTGACTGAATCCCTCAATGCATGCAACTACCTCTAATTATGCCCAGGGGACTGAAACTTTCTCAGAAGAACAGACCCAAAGGAAATAACTTATTTATGAATCTACAAATGGATGGCGCATTGTTTTGAGCCAGGATATGCCCGAGGACAATGTGCGGAGCAGTTCCCAATCTGCAGAACAGATGAGAAGCCATTTACATTGCAGTGCCTGTACTCTTCCGGCGAATTTCAATCCCAAATGGGTTCTTCTTAACGAGGACTTCATAGAGTCGACTCTCCGGGGTGCTGGATGGATCTGTGGCTACATTGAGAGGGACCGGAACTTCATAGCGATTGTTGTTGGGGTCATAAATCTAGGGACAGAGGAGATTGATTTTAGGTGAGTAGAGTACTCTATAGAGCCTACATCCTTGGCAGAAGAAGAACCTGATGACTTTGAAAAGAGTCTGAATGCTGTATTTCTTCATCTTCTTTAAACTCGTGACACTTAGGATTTAATTAACCTATCAAAGAACAATGTCAGATTTAACATTTGAGTCTGTCATATCTCATTTTTAAGGCCTCTATTACAATAACACATTCACTTTGACATTGGTACTATGCTTAAAAATCAGTCTAGAATCAGTGTGGTATTTTATGAATATATTACTTTATGTGTAGGTATATGAATCTATGTGAATACCTGAAAAACAACCTCCCCTCAAAAACCATAAATTGTACTCAATTAAAAATATCAGATGTCCTTGCTAAAAATGGGATCTAAATCGAGCCAATGTGTATTGACTATATTTCCACTCACACTGTACTGGAAACTAGGGATAACTGAACTGCCTTGGACACATTATTGTTGCTATGAAGTTCACACACTAGTGGGGGGTGAACGAGGGACACCCACAGTACTTGAGTGACAGCAGCCAATGTAAATATATGTAGCAGTGTTGTGACACTGTAGGGAAGAAATCCTAACACTGTTTCAGGGAGACTGAGATAGTTTTGTGGGGAGAATACAGGCTGAGTCTTAAAACCTTTGCAGCTAATCACCGAGCACATAAAGGAGAGCAAGTCATTCCTGGTAGAGAAATGAATGCAAAGGCACCGAGTATTAAAGCAGGGGCAGAAAGAGGCAAATAGAGAGCTACTGTGTGTGATCAGGAGATAGAGTGGTAAAGAGGTAAAACTGGAAACCTAGGCAAGGGGTCACTGATTTCAAACCCAGTAGGTGCCTATCACATGCCATCAGTGCTATGGTGAAGACAGAAAGATAAACAAATTTCATCCTTCCATTAGAAGGTGTACAAGAATTCATGGTCCAGGCTGATGTTAGATCATGAACAATCTTTCAGGCAATGCCTGATGTCTTTCGTTTATTCTCTCAATGAACAGCTGAGTGCTAACTCTCTATCAGGCTCTGTGTTGGGTTTCAGAAACCCAAAGATAAAAGGACAAATTCCTGTCTTTCAGAACCACACAATTTAATAGAGAACTACCTACAAAGCAGTCCATCACTAAATCCTTACATGTAATAAATCATAGAAAAGGGAGATCAGTACATTGTCATGGCTGTTTCACAGATACCCCAAATTTGAGGTCCCAAACTGAACTCATGGTTGGTCCTATTTCACCCAACCTCAAACCTTTCCAGGGTTCCCACTCCAGTTAATCCCCATCATCCACACAGAGGTGAAGGCTAGAAACATGGCAATCATCCCCAATGCTTCCTTCTTGCCATCGTCACCTACTTGCCATCATCACCAGATCCTGTGGTAGTATCTTCTCTGTCTCTTGAAGACATCCACTGTTCCCCATTTCCTTGCTGTACCTTGACTGAGCTCAAGCCCTCATCTGGACTCCCTAACTGGTAGTCTCCTAATTTGTCTCTCTTCTTTACTCTTATCCCAATTTTCCTTACAGCAGACACATCAGTGTGCCAGCGGCAGCAGGTCTCCCAATTCAATCACTAGGTTCTCACTGCTATTAGGATGATGATCTAGTACATTGTAGCATGACCAACTTAGGAGAGCACCCTTATTTTAGGGCTATGGACCCTTGACTAGCAAAAGGTGATGGCACTGAAGAGTGCCTTGCCATACTGGACACACAGATGGTACATGCATACCTTAAACTGCAGCATGTCATTCTTGTGGTAGGTCACACTCAGCCGGAGGGAGTCCACGGGGGTTGATGGCAAAGCATTGGCATAAAGAGAAGACTTTAAGGAGATGGCAGCTGTGGCCCCGTGTGCATCATACTGAATGTCACTGACAGAGTAGAGCTCATTGGTGAAATAGCAAAAAGGGACTCCAAGAGAAGTGGATGCCTGAGAAAGAAAGTCAAAGTCAGCTCAGCATTCGGTCCCAGGATTATCACATATAAAGGGTCCGGAAAAGGCAATTTACAGGGAGGCAAAGCCAGACCATCACTCACCTCTCTATAACCTGACTGGTTGAGATACAAGTTTAAATTCTTGGTCTCTGGGCAAAATATTTGTAAATTAACAATAACAACAACAAAATCTCACTCCTGTCCTTAGCTGTCCTTCATATACAGGTAAAAACTCAGGTGCCTTTGGAAGATCTTTCTTCCTGTGGATTCTAAGTAATAACACAGGTCCTGGTTCTATGCTCATGCAACTGCAGGGTAAGGGTAGAGCCTTCGAACACAGGATAACAGCATCAGCACGGTTACCTCCCAGGCACAGCCACGGGCAGTACAGTTGTCTTGGGAAGCACCATTCTCATCAGGGTAACAGTCTATTTTTTCTGTGTCTTGGATCTTCAGGTCCCATTCCACAGTGTATGCTTCTCCCAGGACAAGATCCAGTCCCGTGATAAGGGCAACCTATAGGAATAAGGAGGTGACAAGGAAATGGTCCCTCAGGACAGAGGCCTTGAGAGACCTGAAACTTCTTTTAGGAAAGGAATATAAATCAGGACAAACTCAACAATCCAAGTAACATATATGGAAGCTGGGGTGGGGACCTGCTCACGGCAACAAATGTCAGAGGGCAAATGTCACAGCTCTATGTGAATCTTGTATATAACATTTAAAAAAAAAGAATTTGGTCAAATAAAATGTTCTATCATCTTTTTCTTTCCCAACTCCTCCTCTTCCTCCTGTTGTCAGGAAGGCTCTCTGCTGGCCTCTCCTGCAGCACAACTCACACAAGCACAGATGTCATCCCAGGTTGAGTTTATCTCCCTGCCCTCCACTCCCCAAACCAGCATTCCCCACTGTCTGTATGGATGGCAAGAACAAAGCAATAAAACCACTGTGGTCTGGGTGCCCATCTCCATTCTGCTGTGGAAACTTAGACAAATTATTTCAATTCTTTGAGTCCCAGCTCCATCAATTGAAAAATTGGTGAGTTGGTAAAATTATTTCATTTCCTTCTATTTCTGACATCCCAGCCTCTTCATTTCTCCAAGTTCAATGACTTAAAACTCAAAACTTCTTTATATTCCACTCACTGATTCAAATATTTAATACTTTATTTATGTTTATGTTTTTCTCTTATTTAATTAGCAATTTCCTTTAAAAAATTCACATTTGTCTAGAGTTATAAAATTGCATTCTAAGAATTATTACCTTCTTCCAGCCTCTTCCCAGCCTAAGTCCATCTTACACTTCCCTGCACTACCAACCCCACCCTGCTCCATAAAAACACTCTCCCAACGGCCCAGCCTTGATTTGAGGAGCAATATGAGACCCTTTGAAAACCAGGTCATATCCTTCTCATTTCAATGCAGACCTTCCAAAGTTTGACCATGAGCTTGTATCCAAATTGATCTGCTGCCAAAGGTGAATCCTACCTATTCTAGCTTTGCAATATTCACAGATTCATGTAGGCTCATCTCTTACTAAAATAAGGCTGCACTTAGAGTGGCTCTTTCTCATTTCTCAGCCTTGAAGGCTCTATGCCAGCAAATGCCTTCTCTAGGAAAATGGTGCCCATCTGTGGAATACCCTGCTAGTTGCCTACCCTACATGACAGCTCCCTTCTTACTCACTATTTCACTTGAGAATACTAAAGTTCCCACTTCAGAATTACATTTTTAATTCATGCAACACAGCTGTGGCCATTAACAGGTACATGCAAGTCCCCTGGAAATTTCTCAAGTGTTTCTTTCTTTTTTTTCTTGACTTTGTTAGTATTTAATTGTTGTTCAAGTACAGTTTTCTGTCTTTTACTCAAGTGTTTCTTTCTTGATTTAAGGGCTGGCTTGCTTCCTTCCTGCGTCCTCTCCCCCCAACCTCGCCCCCACCCCCATACTAATAACAAGGCCCTAGTGACTGGAATTAAGCAGGAGACACTCCCAAACACAAAAGAAAAAAAACATCAGCCCCAACAACCTCAAGCTACTAAATAGATGCCAGCAACTGACCTCTTTCCAACCTCTTATTGCATAAGTGAAAAAAAATCCCAATTTGTTTAAAAGGCCATTTGGCTGAGTTTCCTGTCATTTGCAGCCAAATGACCCTCTACCTGATGCATGTGTTTCAAAGTCCACTCCAGCCCTGCATTCTCCAAGGGCTTCGCTCAACTACTCCATTAAGCTTTGAACCTCAAATTAGCATAGTGGAAATTAACACTTCCTGTATGTTAATTTGGGTTGCCTGTCCCCTTCTCAATAGTTTCACATGTATAAATCATGTCTCCCCACCCCCCAAATTGAAACAGTTAAAGTGTTCCTTTGGTGTTATATTAATCAATGTATTTAACAAACACTTACTGAGTTTGTTTTCATATCTGCACCTATCAAATGGCTTGCACTTTGCTATATTCATAACACAAAACCATAATAATTCACTTCTAACTTTATAATGTATGCACCCTCAGTGGATGTTGTCAGGATGAGTGTCAAATGTCTTTGAGATACCATTACAAAGTAATGGTATCTTATTTTCTTATTTTCTTATTTTCTCCAACTTTGGAAGGTTCCTAGGATACCACACTGCCCCCACAGCTGCCTGTCCCTGACCACACCTGTGGGGAGGCACACCTGAGGACAGGATCCCTGGTAATGCTAACACGTCAGAAGAATGCATGACAACCCGTCCACGGGCATCAGGTCCTGTCACAACTGATGAAAATTATTTTCTTATTATCATCTAACCGAATAAGTAGCCATTAATTAGCTAGGCTGCTCAAATTCTTTGACTTAAAATATCTCCTAAAGATGTATGGGTTGGAGTGAGACTCTACATATCTCAACACAGTAAAAACAAAAACAAAAACAAAAAACCTACCTCACTTCAAAATTTCCATTAATGGGAATCCCATGTCCCATCTTTGCTGTTCTCACATCAGCCAGCAGCTTTCAGGTCTACATTTCCTCTCATCCCATCCCCTCACTCCTAACTTCTCTCTTCCTCTGTCTCAGTCAGAGAGAATAGAAGACTGAGGGACCAATGGGGAGATGAGGATAAAAAGACTATTTTACTTTACCCCGGTTTTGCAGCAGCTCCCTCATTCACTCCTGTTCTGGCCCACTCCTCACTTTTTCCCCTCTCGTAACCCTCTGAGTTCCCACCCTGGGCCTGGATATGCTCTGGTCCTTCAGCACCCACATAATCCTGGTAAGAAGGGACACCGTGAGCTATGAAAAATTCCTGATAAACTCTCTCAACCAGGTGGATTTTTACCTGGAGGTTAGAATCGTAAGTGACGTTAGGAGAAACCTGACTTGGGACATCATTCTGCTTCACCCTAATGTTGTTAGGTTCCTGGGTCCCGAGGATTTTAATCTCTTTAAATGCCAAATTATTGGGGTCTTTGTAGGTTGACTGCAAAATCTTCACATCCAAGCGGTTCTGCAAAACAATTGAGCACGGAGGTTTAACTAGAACGCAGATTCTCAAGTCATTCAAATATTCCATCCTAACCACATACCCAAAACTGCTTTGAATGCTTCTTGGCTGTCTCTACTAATGTGTGTTCAATCAGTAGAAACTGGTTTTGTTACTCCCCAGGCAGAAAGAGAGAGAGAGAAAGAGACAGATTGAGAAAGAGAGAGAGATTTTTAAAAACAGCATGTGAAAAACTGACTGCTTTCTTCATCCATGTCATAGCCTCCCTGGTTCTAATGTGGCTGATTCAGTTATTGGAAGAACGTGCTCATCTATACCATAAATGCATATGAAGCTACAAGTATAATAACACACATACACAAACACATATGAGCCTCACAGTCAGACAAAAACCCACACCTAAGACTCACAAAAACGTTCTACTCACTTGGGTGACGGAAAACTCACATAAGAGGTAAACCTTATTGGCCACCGTATCTGCAAGTGAGACAAAGATAAGTCAGACCCCGGTCTGCCCGGCACCGAAGGGCAGATTTCACCCTGGCCGTCACTGAGGCTGCATGTTGAGAATGACAGCATTACAGACAGAGCCTCCCAGGCCACGCCACTGCTTCCCCTTTTCCTTTCTCCTTTAATCTTGAGAAGGTCCTTTCCAAGCACTTCTGAGGCATGTACCTCAAGTGAGTCCATTTCCTAAGCTCAAGCCACAAGAGTTGTTAGTATATTGAAGGGAGAAAAAATGGGCTAAGACGCAAGAGATGGAAGCTTAGCTACATTCTCGCTGCCTCATTGGACATGTTCTTCATATCACTGACATTGGTTCAGTGGTGTGCGGGGGAAGATGTCTACACAGAATGGCAGGGACACTCTTGAAAATGTCTCTTTCATTGTGGGAGGTGAGGGTAGGGCAGGGGAGAGTTATGGGGGGAAATGAGGACAACTGAATGATTTTTTTAAGTTTAAAAAAGAAAAAAAGGAAAACATTTCTCTCAGGTGCCTGGTGACAATGAAGTGAGATCCTATGAACTGCTGGCCAATGGGAAAATTCTAAGAGATAGAAATATATTTTTCTTCCATCAGAACACCATCTACTACTAGCCATGAACAGCGCTACTAAAAACAAAACCTGCTCTCCAGTGACAAATCCGCTCACTGTGCTTGGGAACATTCTCCCGCAGCCCAAAGACTGGCAGGAAAAATTCAAAGATGCGGCTTCAGAAAAGGTGACATGGTCAGCACAGTGCTCACCTTTTGTTTCCCCATCATCCCAGAACAGTTCGCCTTTGGCTTCTTTGTTGTCATCCAGAGCAATGATGAGACCAAGAGGATTCTGTCGACTGTGGAAGAAAGGATTCATGTGAGAGACAAAGACTTAACACATGAAGAATTGGGGCAAGTGAGCTCAGAGTGATTCTCTCAGATTTCTAATGGGAAAGGAGCCAGCAGCAGATGGCTCTGCTTTTCTTCAGGCACAAGGGCGAAATCAACAGGTGCATCTTTGTTTAGAATCAGTAATGTCACAGGAGGTAAAAACACCCCCAAACATTGGCAATAAACATCTACATAGGAAGCAAGAATTTAAGCACCAGAATCACTGCAGTCACTGCAATACCAGCTGCCAGCTCTAATTTAGAACACAGGCTATGAGAAGACAGAGAAATGCTAGAAAATAATAAGGTTCAAACTAACCATTTTAGAGATGATATATAAGGAAGTATAAACTGTGGTTGGGGCAATTTTTCCCTGCCAAAGAATCATTTTGACTCAGAAAGCAATAAAATACAATAAGGTCTAATAGTACTTTTCCTAATTTTGTTATTCATTACTAGTTTGTTTTGAGAGAAAAATAAAATATTCTAATTCTCTGCTTTATAATTATGAATAGGATGCACAAACACTACTCAAAAAGCCAGTAAAACAATAGAGGGACATAGAGAAAGAGGGGGAAAAAGAGCAATGTCAGATGGAATCTTTCCTGCGTTGGTGCCCCTCTGGTCTCCCCCCAGCTTCCTGCCCCTGCTGCAGCATCACTGACCCCATGACCTGGGCTGGTCTCTGCCACAGTTCAGCCTTCCACGATGCCCTGCTATGCACGTTGGTTCCGCTACCAGAAAATCACCTGCTCTCATCTAACATCTATGCATGTGTTGAGTGGTTGTTTTATTTTTTAACATGCTAGGGAGTCTAAAAGATCCAAAGGCGAACAGATCACAATCTATGGATGGCCTTAAATATTGTAAGAGAGATTAAACATATTCACCAAACAATCAAAGCAAAAAAGCAGAGTGACAGAAAAGATAAAATAGTGTGGAAGTCTACCATGGTCCACTTCTAGAACCATGGTGGACTAGATGGCCTGGGGGACCCACCCACTCAAACACTACTTGGTCCCAGATAAAGTACAACATGTGATCCCTAGAGGGAGCTAATGTGACCCCAACTTGACTGCAGTCCTGGCTCGCAATCAAGAGAGGGCAGATTATCTCTGGAAGAACGGGACCTACATTCGGATCCTTGAGATCACCACATCTAAAACACAAAAAGTGCTAAACACACAAAAGGATAAGCCTGCATGAAAGTTGGAGAAAACAAATGACTATTTATTTAGATTCCACCAAGGACTTTAAGTAATAGAATTGTCAGGTACAAAGTATAAAATAACTATGATTGACATATTTAACAATATTCAGGAGAAAAGAAAAAAATCAGCTAAACAGCAAAAAAGTACAGGATATGACCAGGAAGTCAGAGTAGGGGAACTCCCTCGGATTTGCAGCAGATGAAACTTGAGCTTCATTGGAAGGATTATTAAGAATGCACCAGACAAAGAATGTTGGACCTTGAGGACAGCATGCTAAGTCAAATCAGTCTGACAAAGTCAAGAACCATGTAATTTCACGCATATCTGAGATATAAAACTGAAAACAACAAATGAGCAAATAAGAGAAACAAACCAACCTCATAGACACAGAGAGCAGAGTGCTGGGTACTCAAGGGGATGGGCAATGGGAGGGGCCGTGAATGGTAAAGAGGGTCCAACACATGGTGATGAAAGGAGATTTGACTGGGAGGTGAGCACACCATACAAGGGACAGATGATGTGTCATAAAATTGTACACTTGAAACCTATATAATTGTATTAACCAATGTCACCCCCATAAATTTAATATTTTAAAAAAATACCAGGCAAAGAATGTTGGAAAAGGCAATGTCTGCTGCAGCCCAAATGCAATGAAAGAGAAGAGAATGTTGGGGGAATAGCGAGATTTTTGGCTTGGTGGTCTACAGGTGTGTTCAGAGACACAATTATTAAATAACTTGGAACCAGATCATGATTGGCCTTGAATGTCCCACTAATGAAACAGTTTGCTCTAAGCAGGGGACCAACATGCTGAGATCTTCATTTTGGAAAGATAATTTTGGTATCAGTATGCAAAACAGCATGAAGCTGAACACTTAGAAACAAAAAAACCCCAGTTGGTATTGGATATAAAAGTATTTTCCATCAGTATCATAAAAGGTCTAAATTTGAAAAATTAAGGTAATAAGGGAAGTTCCAAAGAAAAGACAGGTTTCTAACCTCCAGAGAACTTTCACTGTGTTAAAAACAAATAAGCTAATATTTATAGAGGCTCAGATATAAATGTGTGCCTCATCGATACAGATGGAGTCTATAATTTTAGAATCAAAGAATCATAAAAGAAGTATCAGTGATGAGGGGGATCTGAAGTACATAAGAGTAGTTTTTAGCCCCATTTTTTCATCACAAAAAAATAAATGGCTCAGGTAAGAAAGAAATGGGAAATTGAGATGATAGGGAAATGGAAAGTGTACCCTGTCTTCCATGGTCCCTAAAAATGACAGTGACTAAGTCTGGCTGGGGCAGGTAAGGTGATCAATAGACCCCATTTGTCTGGAACTGAGAGATTTCCCAAGTCGTGAGATGTTCAGTTCAGTACTCAAGCTAAATTGGTCCTGGAAAAACCAGAGATTGGACCACCCTTAGAATTAGTGTGTTTTGAGGAAAAATTCAGGGGGGTTCAGGCAGAGCAGGGTTAAAGGTATTTCAAAATCCATCTGAATGCAGCTCTAAATCACAGCTTCCTCACAAGAGGCAGAGGTTAAGTACCAATCACACACACACACCCCCCTCCAGTGCATCTTCTTCCCACCCTCCACACGATGCACCAGCATTTTCTATGTGCAGAGCAGATGGGAGCAGAAATGACCAGCTCCGTTAGCTCCTGCCTCAAGGAAATGTCCAGCTATGCTGTACCTGGCCACAGTGGTTGTGGCTGGCTGTTGGGTGGGGAAGATGTAGCCTCCTCTAAGGTGAAGTCCAATTTTGTCTCCAGGAAGTTCCATTTCCACTTTCTGCTTCCTCCATTTCACTCGGCCTCCCTGATGCATGAAGACAAATCAAACATGTTGGCATGACAGGACATTCACCTCCAGCTCTCGTCCACCCCCGTGCCGAGTTACCAATGGCTCTGTTTTACCACTCAGCTGAATGACAGTCAAGTTACACAATCAAACAAGATAAGGGAAAAAATCAAGAGCAGCGGGTTTTGTCTTCAGTTGGGTTTGGAGGAACATGTACGCCACGCTGAGGCTATGGGACATATATGAACTGATAGTTCCAACTCATAACCAAGCTCCAACTGTCCTTTGGCCTCTCCAGTATTTGCCATGAGACATTCTACTTGAGTCTTTATCTTGTTGACTCAAATAAAGTACATGGAAGTATGTTTGTCAAATTTCACCATGATTGATGTTAAGTGACTTAGGCTTCCTTCATCGACTTGGCTGAAGTTACAGAGGACACTACAGAAACACTCAGTTCGTGAATAGATGCTTCTCTCTTGTCTACATGGCCAGTCTTAAAGAGTCTCGAAGAAGAGTCGGTGCTACTTACAGTCTCATAATCATACCAGACGGCATCAGGCATATAGGCCACCACTTTCTCTGCTCCCTGAATTAAAACAAAATAGTGATCTTCATTGCCCAGCCACTGAAAGGAACAAAGTAAATGCCCTAGTGTTCTTCACCATATATATGCTGAGAGTGCACAAATGGCCTTTCTTGGCCCTGTTATCAAATCATGCCTTTCTTGTAACAGGAATAATAGAGGTGATATCTCAGCAACCAAAAAAAAATCCTAAATGGAACCGCATTTGGAATAATCATAATAACAAAACATGTCGTGGTGAAAATTCCAGCTTTATCTTGATTATCTCTTTCATACATCACAACAGTCCCCAGTGATAGGGACCGTTGTAATCTCACCTTCTGGCTGAGGAACTAGCATGACAACTTGTGCCCAATCATGTTGGTGTAAGTGGCTCGGGTCACAGTCACACCCCGATCAGCCTGATCGTGGGGTGATGCTGCGTCACTGCTCTATTCTGTCTCTGCATCATGGAGCAAGTAATAGTCTGCTCTGAGAACCTGACAACTCGTGGGACCACTCTCAAACCCAGAGTCACCAATGTGGCCTCTATACTGGTTGGAAACTTGGTCCAGGAAAAGGATTTCAAGAGAAAAAAAATGTGCTAAGTATCAGATATCCACCTTCCCCAACCCCCGCACATTATCTTCATGGCCAACTCGGTCACAGAGGTTGGAAATGGGTTTGGAATAAAGAGAAATGGCTCAAGAAGAGAGTAGCGGGGACAGAGTAGAGACCACCAGTGTGTCTCTTTGGGGACACTTGCCTCGTCCAGAACTGGAGTGATGAGGAGGCCGGGGCCCCACAGAAACTGTGTGTGCACATCCCAAGTGTTGCTGTCCTGGTAGAACCTGGAGATCAGAGAGGTTTCCTCTGAGGTTTGGGCTGGTGCTTCCTGGAAGCTCTGGGACAAAGCCCCCAAGCCATTCTATGACACCCACTCAACTGCCACCTCCCCACTCCTGCGGAGAGATCTGCCTTCCTCAGCCCACGTGCCCTCCACGTCTTCCCCAGTATCTATGCTAGACGGGACCAAGGCTGACCTCTATCTGCCACATCTCCCTTTTCAGAAACAATAAGTAAAGTAGCTAATACATCTTAAACCCTTAGCTATCAGGAAGGAACTGGACCTAATCACGAAAAACAGCTGATCATTAATAATTTGACTCTCTTGGGTTGCCTGCCTTTTAATGGAGAATTCCAGGACGTGGCAAAACCCCCAGTGACTATGTAACAGAGCAGGCATGTGCTCAGGGGTTTCAAATGCCAGACACGTAAGGACATTGACCGTATTCTGACAAGGAAAGCCTCTGAAGTCCATAGCACCTTGCAAAAGAGACCCCCCAGTTCAAGCCACCAAATCCTTTAGATGAAAGTTAAAGAAACTAAGGATAAAAGAACTAAAATGCCTTGTGTCAGATGAAGAGTTAGTTGTTAATAGAACCAAGTATAGAGCTCAGATCCATGAGGTTTAGTCTGGTTTCCTTCCTGAAAGAGGACAGGCTATAATACTTAAAATACCCCTAGAATCACATGCAGGCAACAACAGCTTTGCAAGTACCGACTGGGTTTCCAGATATATTTTGCTTTAATTGTCACTCTTCTATTTGATGATATAGTCAATGCCACCCCCTTGCACTAACCAAAGTCCTTTGGGAGAGGTGTACTCACTCATGCAGAAGGGGCCTGGCCACAGTGTCCCCCCGGCTGTGAGCCCGATAGAAGAGGGTGTAGAGAGAGGGCAGCAGAGTGTAGCGGATGGTGAGGTAGTGCCTGGAGGAGTTCAACAGCAGGGAGTCAGCTCCAAAGGAGGCAGGATCCTGGGCCTGGAAGGAAAGAAGTTGCAGTTGAGATCCGGTTGTGAGCAGCAGAAGTGGGTAGAGAAATCCAGGCTCCATTTATCACAACCACGAGTTTGTGTCTGGGAAGACCTGGGGCCTGGCCTACAAATGTGTCCTCTGATCGGTACAGTTGGACACAAGGAGATCGTTCCACCAAGGAAGTGGCTGTCCTGCGCCTTGCAGCTCAGGCCCCTTCACACACTCTTTAGGACCGCCCTCTCGGGGGACTGCCCTCTAAATCATTTTGAAGCATTTCATCATTTGATTCTCATTGCAAAATGCAATGCAGATCAAGTGCACAGACTGGCCCCTTCCTTGACCGCAGCAGTAGAAATAGCAGTGGCTGTGTCACAGGGCCATTCATGGTACAGCTGAGGTCCTGGCTGCTTGCTGACAGTGGTGCAATTTAGCCTAAGGGAAGCACCAGGGAGGAGGATGGCTCAACACACCCCCCAGAGGCCCATAGGTCCAGTCCTAGCATAGGCCAAGTTTATTTTGATTCTGCCTCCTGGGAGACTTGCCTTGTAGCCTTGGCTGTTATGATTCCTGGAAAATGGGTAGAAAGCCCCCAGCTGCATCCACCGCCTACAGAGCTCCTCAGAGGTGTCCAGCGCAAAGCCACATATGTCAGCACCCACCTGGAAGGACACACAGAGAGCTCAGGGGCACATCCTTCCTTGCTTCTACCAGGGACCTCCCTCCTGCTCTTTGCTAACCTCTGACTGAAAAAGCTCACATGGTGCGATGGAATTAGGTGACATCCTGTTCTTGCTCCTGAGTGCCAGGGGACTCCCAGTAACTCACCTAACCCTCCCGTGCCTCAGTTTCCTCACTCTGTTTCGGTAGGCACTCATTACCTGCAGAGGGTTTTACTAAATGAAATGATGTCAGTAAAATGCTTGACACACAATAGCTTTTTGATGACTGGTTGCTAGAAGTACTGCCAACACTATTAGTTTGACCACACCACGATCAGACCTAATTTCCCAAAGCCTCAATCTGATGCTGTCGCTCACCTATTCACAACTGCCAGGGTCTCCTTGCAGCTGATCCTATTAGCTCCCCCAAACCTGGCCCCAACCCACCTTTCAGCATCACTCCCCACTTCAGTTCCGCACACCCACCTGCACAGACCCACCGGTGCCTCCCTTTCACTGCTTTGGCTCATATTTACTTCTCAATATTAAAATGACCTCCCCCGGTGAGTCAGATAAAACGTACCCACTTTTCAAAGTTAAGCTCCAGTGCGGTCTTTTCCATGAAGTTTCTGTTGACTCCCTCCCCTGACCCACTTTATCCCTTGTCATCTCATCAGAGCTAATAAGTCCCTGTCACAGGATCTCCCTTAACAGCTGACATGAGTCCCTGCTGGCATGTTTACCCTCATTTGTCATAATTGTTTATCTATATGCCTCCTCTTGCTAAATTATAAACTCTTTGGGGAAAGAGAAGAGTTTCTGTTACTATACTTATGGGTTTTTCCACCCTCACCAAGCATAACTAACTCAGGACACACAGTAGAAGCTCAACAAATATTTATGTTTAATTGAACTAAAAGATGAGATGGCCAGGATTAGGGTGCTGGTAATGTTGTTTCCTCCTCTGGGTGCTTTATACATAGATGTATAGAGTGTGCGAGATTCATCCACTGTACATTAAGGATATGTACACTTTTTTGTACGTGTATGTTATACTTTAATAGAAAAAAAGTTCCAGTGATATCCCTTCCAGGTTGAACTTTCTATCTTTGTAAGGCAATAGAGGAAGAATGTTGTGGTATGAGAACCACACTGATGTAGCTAAAACACATGCTCTCAAGACATGAAACTCCTGGGCTCCAGAGAGTAGAAGGGAGCCTTGACTTGAAAACTTTCTAGAACAAGGCTTTCTGGGAACTTAGGTTCATAAGAGAGCTTGGGATGGGGACTCACCATTGGGATACCAAAAAGGTTGAACTCAAGCATGCCAGGGATGGACCACTGAAGGTCATTCCAGGTGGCCGTGTTGTCTCCCAGCCAATGGGCTGCAAACTTGCCAGATCCCGCAAAGGTGGAACGGGTTATGATGAAGCTTCTCTTATTAGGGAAAACAGTCTTGACAGCTCTAGGGAAGGAGAGAGAGACCTGGGAGTCCACGTGCAACCTTAGTGTGTCTCAGCCCACCAACATACACCAGGGACCTGGGAAGTCAATACCTGCCTCCTATAGTTCTCTATCCATGGGGTAGAATTGCTGATGGGGACAGGCTGCACCAGTAAGTGTATTTATGTTTTCTTTTACTTTAAGGTTTTTTATGTACATCAATAACTCCACACTTTCCAAGACTTATCAAAGCACACTTGAGAAGGCTAGTAACTAGAAGTATACAATTTTTAAGGAACAAAGGTGAAATTTAAATTCACATAGCTGTATATATACAGGGTGGGGCAAAAGTAGGTTTACAGTTGTGAGTACACAAAACACAATTTACGCTTGTATTTCTATTTATTCATTATTGTATTCTTTCCAAAGAAATCACTGTAGTGCTGCTTTTGCCCCATCTGTGCCTTAGTCTTTCACATGGTGCAATTTTAAACATACACAAAAACGAACTGATGAATCCCCTCTTGGAACTTAAACTGTTTTTTAGTAAAACCCCTTTGGTCACAATTTCATAATAAGAAAAGACATTTAAAAATTATATGTTTATGTGGGAATTTTTAAGTAAATGTAAATAATATACTATCTATAGTTTTAAAGTAAGAAATCTATTATATGCTTACAAATGTTTGCTTTGTAATTTTTTTTAACAACTTTCAAGAAGGCCGAAATGATACCATGACTTTGCTAACAAATGACTGTGGTTTGGGTCTGGCCACCTTCAGTCACAGCTGCAGTAAATACAGTAAATGCCCAAGTCCTTCTCACCACAGAGGTTGAGTCCACACATGAAGGGAGACACTGCTCTGTAGGAGGATGCTGGGCTGGCAGCTGAAGCCCCAAAGCACATGAAGTCAAAATTGCTTAGTCAATACAGTGTGGCAAAGAAGAAGATAAATGGGCCTAGGACTCTTGCAGAAATGGGCTTAAATTCTGCTTCTACTACTTATTAGCTGTTTGACTTTCATAAATTACTTCTCTTTCTTTCTTCTGACCTTCTAAGTATTAATTTATTCATTCATTCTTCCATTTCATACATTCTATAAATATTTATTGGATTCCTTCTTCCCATGACGCTAGGTAGTTTCTTCATTGTTCTGTGAAAATAACCATACCCCTTTTATAAAATTCTTACAAGTAACACACTGGCACCTCACATCTAGCAAAATCAGTAATTCACCATGCGGTAAGTCCCTAACAACAGTGGCCTTACTCTGCTGTGGCGATAGCCATGGAGTAGCCGTACAGGTTGTGGACGTCGTACTGCTTGCCCCAGTGCTGCACTGCATCCATGCAGAGAGTCTTGCAGAACAGGTACCCATCCAGGACTCCTGGGAACAAGAGGGATCAGAGAGCCAGCACTGGAGGTGCACGTCCCCTGCTCCTTGACCATCACAGACCCTGACATGGTGCTCCCCAGGCAAGCATTTACTGGGGCCACCCTGTGAATGATCACCCAGCTTCCTCGCTGTCAGAGGGATCTAGATGGGGCCGTTTCTCTGATGTACAAAGAAATTGTGCCGGCCCACCACGTTCTTCCCCGCCCCCCTACCCCAGGCACTCTTGTGACTAGAGGCAGGCATTTGGAAGCAAGAGGATCCAGGTGGATTTGAGATTCAATCTGAATTCTTCAAACTCAGCAAAGTTAACAGGTTCAAAGATATAAATATTGGATGACAGTAAAAATGAATTTCTCAACCCTTCTCTCCACTGACCCAATATTATAAAGGGCGATTGCCCAATCTCTCTTCCATGCATGGATTCTTTCCTGCTCTGATTGCACCACGCTGGTTCAGAACCAAATGACCTTTGGCTCTTAACCATTGCAAAGGGTTCTTAATGGCTTATTGACTTCTGACCTATTGATCTTTCTAATTCATACTGCATATTAATGCCAGGTTAATACTTCCAAACCATTTGTCTATTGCATTTCCCTTTTATTAAAACATAAAAAGATTCTCTCATGAGAAGAATAAAGTATGAGCTGCTTAACCTCTCATCCAAGTCCTTCAACATTTGGTTCTGACCCAGGTGCTCCAATTTCCTATTTCCCACCAGATTGGAACTCATCATAAAATGCTATAATAATTCTAGCAGCTCATTCCTTTCTGGTTGAAGATACAATTGGCTGGAGAGCCTCTAGCTTTCTTCAGACTACAATAACAACTGTGAGTTCAGGGCCACACTCTGAGGGGTAGTGCTTTTGCATCATATTCACTGACTTTGAATTTGACCTCTTAAGCCATTATCCTATGGTTCAGGTCTGTTCTTCACACTCTTGATATCAGTACACTTGACCCTCATCTAAAAACCAAGCCTAATTACCTGGTCTTTCTCCAGTAAATCCTGATATGTGGGGGAGACTCCAGAGCCACACAGACTAACCACTAGCCACTGGCTTCTGCAGCACATCTTCACTAGAACTTCCTCTAGAAACAGCTTGGACTATAAGTAGAAGGAATAGATTGCTCTTTTTGAATTGTTCTTCATTTAGAAAAGCATGGAGTGTTTTGATTTTCTTTCTTAGTTTTCTTTATATATCACCCACATTCTCCTTTCCATATGTGCTCTTATGTACAAATTCTCTTGCCAAGTTGCTCATACATATCCTTATGAACTTAAAATACCAAATGTGCATTGCCACTTTAATCAGACTAACCACCAAGACTTACTGGGAGTGAATGGGGGATAATTTAGATTGCTCGTTGAACATCCTGAAACTGAACCATCAATGAAGTTGGAAACCTCATTCATATCCTACAAGACCAAGAGCAAAAGTTATTAATAAAAGATGACATGTCAGCTTATGTTTTACTAATGGTATCCTTTTTGAGGAATCAGAAAAAATAAACCCAGATGTTTTAAAGAGGTTCTTATGTACATGGAGAGAAATAGAATTTACTATATTCTCTATACATTGAAGATTTCATGAAGACAGTTCTTAAAAATACCTTCAAAATTATAGATGTTTGTAATCACTGACAACAAAAAATTTCCAACACACTAGTTGAAAAAAGATTTCAATTTATATGATTCAATATAGATTAACTTACACATTCTCTGTATATCCAAATATAGCTATGAACACACACACACATAAACATGTACATAAGCAGAGAGAGTGAGAGAACAAGAATGTGCCAACAGCTGTGCACACGAAGGGCCCGGAAGATACATAGCAAAATATGTCTTTGGTTGACATCATTTTACAAGACTTTGCTTTCATCTCTTTATCTCTCTGTATTGTTTGAATTGTCTATATTTCTCTTATAAACAGACAAAAAGTTCAACTTGAGAGCTTCCTCGGTTTTGCTAAATGTCTGTTGCTTTGCATTTGTTTTCATTTGACAATATGTGAGATATTTGTCCTTCCTGCAGTCACAGCTTTGTCATGCACCTGGGTCCTCTGGCTCTGATCAATTTATCCAATATCTCCACATGAAAGGGCTTTGAATGGATAATTGAACCATTTGTGTACTTGTGACAATGTAAGGAGTATACGACCTGTGGGTATTTCTATTTTGGTTCATTCATTTGTAAAAGAAGTGCTAGAGGGGCCAGGGTACGGGGGACTGATTACTTCCAGTTCCAATGATCTGATTTTCATTCTAAGCTAGCTGCTTTGGTAAGATCATTTGAATAGAAAAATAGGGAGTTTGGACATCAAGTAGTTAAAAATCATGAGCACAAAAGAAATACACAACTTAACAGACAATGAAGGCACTGAAATTGTTAAAGATTTTGCTTTCCTTGGTTCAGTCATCAATTTAAATGGAGACAGCAGCCATGAAATCAAGAGAAAGCTGAGATTCAGAGGGACAGCAATGGAAGAATTAGGAAACACCATCATGAGAAACAATGTGTGTCATTAAAGACCAAGGCCAAGCTCATCCATGTGCTTATGGTTGCAATTACTATGTACGGATGAGAAAGTAGGCAGTGGAGAAGGCTGATTCCTTGGGCCAGCAGGAAGACAAACAAAGGGGTTCTAGAGCACAGGAAGCCTGAAACATCGCTGGAGGCAACAATGACAGAACTGAAGCTGTCCTGTTTCAGACACATCGTGAGAAGGCAGGTTTTTTAGAAGAGACAGAATGCCGGGGAAAACAGAAGGCAGCAGGAAAATAGGAAGCCAAATAGGAGATGGATGGACTCCATAAGAAACCACAGACATGAGTCTCAGGGGCTGAGCAGGGCTGCTGAGGATGGGACATCGGGACATCGGTCATTCACTGGGTCTCCAGGGTTCAGAGCTGACTCAATGGCACGTGACCCACGCAAAATAGGGAATGCTTTCTTATTGCCATGCTTGCTTTCCTCTCCTTCATCCCCCCCTCTGATCCACACCCAGGGATATGGATATACACAGTCTGAATGTTGGTCCCCTAATAATCTGAACATTAAGAACTCACAATCCAGATTCCATCAAACTCCACTTGGTTGTGGAAAAGCTCAAATTCCTTTGCCCACCAAACAGCACACTCAGGGTTGGTGTAATCAGGAAACACAGTGTTTCCAGGCCAGACCTGTAGGAGAAGAAAGAAAACCAATCAGACTAAATAAAACGAACACAGAGTAAATGAGAGTACTTTGAAAAAAATTCCTAATAAGATCATAGCAACAGAGGTACCTGAGCACAGGTCCTTGTCAGGAATGTAACGCACTTTGAATACCCCAAATAAGTGTCAGGAGGAGTCCATCACTTGAGGGAAAACTTACTTTAAAAAATTGGTTATGTCCTTGCTAGCCTCCAATTCTGGTTCACGCTTCCTCCCACTTTCTCTACTCCCAGTTCTAGGAATAGTAAATGAGGGAGAGTACTGCATCAGGTTCCGCGGGTCCGTTACAGACTGTGGGCTCTAACCACCAGTGACTTCTCTCTTCCTTTCCGACCCACTCCCCCTCAGACACTGTGTACTTGGCTCTGCAGTGGGTTGGAGATGAACCAGCAGATAACAGCTTCATGGAAGACAAGGACAAGGGAAAGTTTGAGAAAGAAGCAGTCAAACTTGTCAAATACTATGGAGACTTCGAGTAAGAAAAGGGATGGAAGAGTTCCATTGGATTTGCCAGTGAGGAGCAGCATCAGTAAAGCGATGGGAGGAGAGAATAGACTGCAGTCAGTGGATGAGTGAATGGGTGTGCGATGAGGAAGTGGATGTTCCATTCGGGGGCTGTTGTGCGAAGGGGCTTGACTGTGAAGGGAATGTAGCAGCCGGATAGGATGGCTGGCAAGTGCTGGGGGATGAAATGACAGGGAAAGTGTAGCCCCAGGATACATACGGCACCTGAAAATGTGAAACAGAACCATCTCACACTCACACACACACACACACACACACAGCCCCTCCTTCAGCCCTCAGTTTCCCCATAAGTTACCTCCCCAATGAGTGGAGTCACTCCGTCTGAGGCATGGACCCATATCTTCATAGCTGAGCCCCTGTCATATGGGCCGTAGGGATCACTGGAGGAAGAGTTGTTGGAGATGGCCGGATCCTGAGGAGGGGAAAAACACAGTGAAGGACCGAGCTTTAAGCTAAAGGCACTATAAGGAGATTGGGAATTAGGGGCCAAGGAAACAGAGCTGGGCGTAATGACAAGGAAGAGCAGTCTCTGGGCTGAAGGGGACATGAGGATGGTGCATACCATGATGATGACCAGTTTCTGTCCATTCTCGTGCAACTCCTGAGCAAACTCTGAAAAGCCTCTAAAATCCACTGGGTTATAAGTGAAGTCCTTCCTCCCGTCCATATAATCGATATCAGCATGCTGGACATCCTGAAAGAACGCACAGGTACACAGCTGAGCACTCAGAAACTTTCCAGTCATAGGACTCGGCCCAGTTATTAGTGTTCCTATTCAGGGTACCCAGTGACTCTGTGCTGGGCTCTAAACAGGGCTTTAATCAGTCCCTGACATCTAAGGGCTCCTTTTTCCAGGGGTAATTTCAAAACAAAGGGCCCATTATTTCTCTAAGGCCTGGCCCCGCCACCGAATCAAGTTAGCTGCATCATCCTACCTTGTCTCACTTGGACTTTGGCATTAATAACCAACCTAACAAATAAACCAGAACAATGATAACCAACCACAATGGATATCAAAAACATAGCCATTCCCCTAATTCCACCTAATCCACAGGATGAAGGGAAGAAAGAACTGTCTTCTCCCTCATGTCATCACCCTGCATTTTGTAGGGTTGCTCCTCTACTTCAAGTCTTCTTTGGTGACTACTGTTTCCTAATTGAACCTGTATGAACATAGTGGAGCCCAGAATGAAACTGACTCTTGCTCTGGAACCGACGTACCTGCCTCCTGTGAGCTGGGATGGGAGAAAAGAGGTTTATTCCAGAGACTATTGGGTTTTTCTCTTTGTATCACTTGTAAAAACCTCACTCCGCAGTGCACAATAGAACCATTCAAATTTAACCATTTAAACATAAATATATTTCATTATGTGTATGTCCTGTATCCTTTAGCTCACTTAAATTAGGAAAAGAGAAGTCTTGAAAGTGAAATGCATTATGTAAATAAAATGCATTTTATGAAGGATAGTTGATACAGTAAGCATAAAAAATTTTACTAATAAAAAATGTAATAAAAAATATAGACAAAAACAGATAATCTCCTAACCCCATAATTGTTGTCTCTTAGTACTATTTCCTACTAAAAGGAACAAGTTCCTTGAAGGATGGAAGAATAATCCCCAAAAAAAGTCTAATATTCTAGATACAGAAAAATCTTTTTTAAAAGATTTTATTTATCATTTTTTAGAGGGGAAGGAAGGGAGAAAGAGAGGGAGAGAAACATCAACGTGCGGCTGCCTCTCATGCGCCCCCTACTAGGGACCTGGCACAACCCAGGCATGTGCCCTGAACGGGAATCGAACCAGTGACCCCTTGGTTTGTAGGCTGGTACTCAATCCATTGAGGCACACCAGCCATGGCCAAATACATAAAAATCTTTACATTAAAAAAGAAACTCAGGGGGAGAAAGTACAAACAATTAGTCTTATTCCCCAAGGGAACACTTTTATTTCAGGAGGATTTTTAAAACCTTGCTTACGTAAGGGAGCTGCGCCGCTCGGTTTCTCTCCACGACTTCCTTCATGTTGTCTAGGGAGCCGTAGTCGTACCTACTGAGATGGAAACCAAGTGTCCAGTAGGCGGGTAGGGCTGGCCGTCCAATGAGCTGAAAGGAGTATTGGAAATCAAAGTTAGCAAATGCCCCATTTTAAACAAAACCTTTACCAAGCATTGGTTTGGTGGTGCAAAACACCCCATTTTCCAACACACTTTTTCATTAATGTTAGGCTGTAAGTCTACTTTCCTGGTCCCTCTACCCATCACTGAGGGCAGGGTCAATTTGTAATAACAGATTTATGACAGCTACTTATAATAGCAGATTTTCATGAGTCACAGTTGCCTGTCGAACTTGCTTTCCTTGGTGCTATTTGGGATTTTCTCACCTCCAGGTACTCCTGAACCACGTGTTCCGGCGTATCTCCCAGGAACACATAGAAGTCCAGGATGCCCCCGATGGTGCGGTACGTGATGGCTGGTGTGGGCTGAAGGACGACCTCTTGACAGATTAAAAATGAAGAGAATACAAATTTGAATTTATTCTAGAGTTACAATCACAAAGCTTTAGACCAGAGGCCAACAGTCGTCCGAACATTAACAAACTGATCCTCAGATTTTGCACACACGGGGCAAACTCCAATCATCAAAGTCTATCCCCCCCAGTACACAGGAGTCCAAGCCTTGGCTCTGTGACCAATTTTGATCATCAGTGACAGGAGGGTCTTAGCTCCTGCATCAGGACCCAGGCTGCCGTGAGAAAGCGGCCAGTTTCATGAAGGTGGCCAGAACAAGCCACTGTAGTGTAACATTTATTTTAGGCTGAAGACATTCAAGTTTCTGAAATATGTTATCAACCTCAAAGCAGTGCCTCCTAAAAGTACTCAATTGCCATAAACCGCCTCCCCTGGAGCAACCCTGATTTTCTCTGAGACAATGAATTAGCACCACATCCAAACAGATATTGTCACACAAGTATCATACCTCCCACTGTCCTCCTCAGGGCTCATGTGCTTTCCCATTAGTGCCCTTTACACCTCCCACCTCCTCTAAGAAGCCATTTATTTGTTTCATCATAGTGCTTTTCTCCCCCTCCCATTCACCTATTAGGATGCTATATGTAAGCCCCAAATTTAACCACCTCTTTCAGGTACCCTTCCCTGAGCATCTTGAGTGTATGTATGTTACAGGTCTTTCCTCCTGCTAACCTATCCTTTGTCAATTTGATTCATAGTCCATCAAACACTGAACTTAAGTGGGTATAGGACAGAAATGTTTTCTTTGACGTTCACAACTATATTAAACACGCCGTGTCTGCCCTGCCCTCCATCATTATTGCAGGAATGTAACCCAACTGGACACACGGGGGCGGTAGCCTCAATGAATCTCACATGATGCAGGAGCCGATCTGAAAACAAAGTCAGAGAGGATAAATAAACTCAAAATCACTTTAAGCCCCAATCACGGCTCTCGGAAGTGAGGTCTCCCCATGCTCCTGGTTTGCACTGAAGGATAAAAGTCCTCGAAGTCTACTGAAATGTCCTCTGTGGCCATAAAAACAACTCACACAGAGTGCCTCAGATCCCAAAGCCTTTCCACTGTTTCCTGGTTCCTTTCATCAGTCTGAAACTGTACAATCCTTACATTATCTCAGTCTCTTCTTAGACGTCTAGGTGTCTCAGAGTCCCCTACAATTCTATTAGGTGCATTAGAGCCACTTTAGATCACCCAGGATGATTCTCGAAATAGTCTGTAGTGAAGGGTCAGGTCATAGTTTTCAAATTTATAATTCTCTGCAAACTGATACTTCTGGAAAATGACACAAAAATGAATGGCTAGGAAAAAGTTGGTGTGTGCACTTGGATGCAACGACGGTGCTTACACTTGAGTCCTGTACTTGTCTTACTACAGAACTGAAACAGCTTGTGAACCCTCTGTTCACAAGCTGAACCCTGTGGGCCATGCCCTCAGGGTCATGGATCTGGTCCACTGATACTCAGCTGAGAAGAGGATGGGGATCAATGCCCACCATCAACCCTGGGAAATTCTGATACATCTCTTCTTCCCTTGTGGTGATTGATTCATTGCCACCAGGAGCTGTTGCTGGCCACTGAGAATCCCTGATCTGGTTTAAAACCCTCAAAGAGGAGGAAGCTAGCTGATTTCTAGACCCCTACGATGTCACTCTGGTCTTACACGATCTGTCCTTGCTTTGCATGACCCTTGCCACTCAACTGGACCCTGCTCCCCTTGGAGTGTCTGAATGTGACACTCACTGCTCAGTTGTACATCCCTGGTTAGGCCCAGCTCCTGCCATCAACAGGCCCAGAGCAAATGGCTGGTTTCTACCAAGGCTTATATCAACCCTCTCCTGGATGGACATCTAAGGAAGGAGAAGAATAAATCGGTACAAACTTCCCCTGAGTAGATTACAGGAACAGGTTTGCTGTCTTAACTCTGTGATAGAAAATATTCCAGTAGAGGAGACACATTCAGGAGAAACATAAGCTCAGGGAGAAGCCCTGCCCATGGCTACCGTAGGTCAACACACAAGGCCTTAAGCTGTGGCTCAGCCTTTCCTAAAGGTCTCCATTCCTTTCACCATCGTGCTATAAGAGGCAGACTGAAGACCACTCTGATGCATATTTTCGTGAATATCCCTTTAGTCCTTTACCCATGGCATTGCTGTTCATCAGAAACACTCCAAAGGACAATCCACTAGCATCTTCAAGGCACAGGAAGAATGTCTGGGCACCATACAAGTTAGTTCCATCCTGTAGAAACATAACGAAAAGCCAAAAATTCACAATGTGAAAGGCTAAACTCCACTTGGCCAGAAATGACTGAGGAAATCAGTGCTAAACTAACCATGTGAGTAACTTACAGGAAACTTCTGGTCCAAGAAGACACAACTGCACTTTGAAAATGTAACTTTGATATTTACTTGATGTTCCCATTAGTGAACCAGTGTTCCCTGATTAAATGAGCCAACTGTGACCACTGAACTAGAAAGAATGTGAGAGTCTGTGATACCTGTTAGGGCATGGGAGAACAAGAATTTTGCAACAAAAGCTCTGAAAGGCTCTTCTCTCCATGAGGTATCTCTTATCTGACCTAAGACCATCTGCAAGAGCTCCATTAGGCCTTAATGTGAATCAGGCCCCTTTCTAACATGCAACTAGATGGAGCTCTCCTCAAGATATCTGCCCTGCCAGCCTTCACAATGGGAGAGTTCAGAACTTGAGCTGGTCTTCTAGACTTCAGAATCACACAGTAGTTCCCGAGTGGGGCTGCAATGCATCTCAGCCCAGTGAAAACAGAATCCCTGGTGATGGAAGGAAGCACTGATGGTTTGTTAAGTTTCCCCAGGTGTCCCAGTGTATTGTTATGATGAGGAATCACTGCTCTTGAACAGCATTTCTCAAAATTTGGTGTGCGTACAAATCATATAAGCATCTTAGGTAAATGTGGATTCCAATTCAGTAGGTGGAAGAGGCAACTGAGAGCCCATATTTCTCACACAGGAGTGTCCATGCTGGACAGGTCGAGTGGCCAGGACCCGAGCTCCTCATGAAAGACCCATCACCAGCCATTCCCGGACAAGCTGCTCCAACTCGACAGCTTTTCTATTTTTCTGATGGGTGTACATATAGTACGGAGTAGGGTTTCAAGTTCAAAAGGCCAGGGATCAGATCTTATCTCTGTTACTTACAAACTTTTTTATTTTTTTTACATTGAGGGGGTTATTTGGATTTTCTGAGCCTCGGTTTCCTCATCTGTTACATGGAGTAAATTATACTTATCATCTTTTTTCAGAGTTTTTTTTGGGGGGTAAATAGTAACAATGTATAAAAATAGTCAGTAAATTACTCTGATGATCTCTCTTCATCTAGCCACTGGTTCTGCTTAGTCAGGAAATTTGCTGAGTAAGACCTACACTGCTAATCCTAGAAAGGACCTCTACCCAGAGTTAGCAGACAAAGCAAAACAAAACATACGAGCAACAGAAAAAAGAAATCAGGGGACTTCCGCCAAGATGAAGGTATAGGTGGATGTGCCGTGCCTTCTCACACAACCAAGTTTAGGGACAACTAAATATTAGCAACACAAAACACAGCCAGAACACGGAAAATTGAACTTTTCAGAAGTCCGTTAACAACAAATTCTGCAGCCTGACCGGTAAGGGGTGAAACCAGTGGCTGGTGGAGCAGGGTTGCACAGGAGGACTCGGTCAGACGGGCTCAGGCGCGGAATCCAGACGCAGAATCCAGGCGCAGGGTTGGACCTAGTGAGCGACCGAGCGAGTGACCAGGCGAGCGACCTCGGAGGAGACAGCGGGGAAGCGGTGCTGCGTGTTGACTGGGGTCGCCTATTTGTGCGCGAGCGGACAGGCAAGGGAGTGGGCAGTTGGACCGGGGCCCGGCGTCCCCGCGGCAAGCGGCAATAGAGGGCGCCGCCATTTCCTCGCTCTGACCACGCCCCCACATACAGCGTCACAACCCAGCGACCTGGGAGTCCAAGGCGCCTCTTCTCACACTTAAAGGGCCAGAACAGACCAAAAATGTCGCAAATTCTCAAAATCCGAGCCCATAGACCTAAGCGATGAAGAAATAGCAAAACTCTCAGACGCACAGTTTAAAACACTGGTTATCAGGATCCTCACAGAACTGGTTGATTATAGCCACAAATTAGAGAAACATATGAAGGCGAAACTAATTGAAATGAACGGAATTGCACAGGAAACCAATAATGATGAAAAGGAAACTGGGACTCAAATCAATGGAGTGGACCAGAAGAAAGCAAATAATGGACAAACAGAAAAGAGTCAAGAAGCAAGAATTCAAAGAAATGAGGAGAGTCTTAGGAACCTCCAGGACATCTTTAAACGCTCCAATATCCGAATTATAGGGGTACCAGAAAGGGGAAAGGCACAGCCACCAGTGGAAAACTTATTTGCACAAATAATAAAGGAAAATTTCCCCAATTTGGCAAAGGAAATAGACTTCCAGGAAATCCAGGAAGCTCAGAGAGTACCAAAGAAGTTGGACCCAAGAAGGAACACACCAAGGCACATCATAATTACATTAGCCAAAATTTAAATGAAGGAGAGAATCCTAGAAGCAGCAAGAGCTAAGGGGACAGTCACCTACAAAGGAGTTCCCATCAGACTGTCAGCAGATTTCTCAAAAGAGACCTTACAGGCAAGAAGGGGCTGGAAAGAGCTATTCCAAGTCATGAAATCCAAAGACCTACAACCAAGATTGCTCTATCCAGCAAAACTTTCATTTAGAATGGAAGGACAGATAAGGTGCTTCTCAGATAAGATCAAATTCAAGGAGTTCATCATCACCAAGCCCTTATTATATAAAATGTTAAAGGAACTTATCTAAGAAAAAGAAGTTAAAGAAACATGAACAGTGAAAGGACAACAAACTCACAGTTATTAACAACCACACCTAAAACGAAAGCAAACTAAAAGGACAGCTAGATCAGGAGCGGAAACATAGAAATGAAGATCTCAAGGAGGGTTAGCAACAGGGGAGTGGGAGGAGGAGAAAGGGGGGAGAAGGTACAGAAAATAAGTAGCATAGACAGTAGATAGAAAATAGATGGGGGGGGGCAAGAATAGCATGGGAAATATAGAATCTAAAGGACTGGAGACACATGGTCATAAACTAAAGGGGGTAATGGTGGGGATGGGGGGGTAGGGTGGAGGGGAATGAAGGGGGGAATAGAACAACTGTAACAGCATAATCAATTAAAAAAATAAAAATTAAAAACAAAAACAAAAAAAGCAGAAAAAAAGCAACCATAAAACTCTGTTCTTTCACTGCCCTAAATATCCTTCACACGAAGAATGATCAATACAGCAGTTTTTTAGTTGACATTTTGTCCTATTTTGCTGACAAACCTGGTCAGTAGTCCATGATTGGTAAAGGTCAATCTGAAATATGCAGATTATAACAAACATTTTGTGCAGAGTCCATATCAGTAATGTTCTCTCCGAAACTAGTTAGTCTAAAAGGAAGATACAATGAAAAGTAGTCGACATTCACTGTCACTTTCTACGTGGCAAACGCTCATCCAGGGACTCTAGAAGCACCAATTCATTCAATTCCCATTGCAGCCCTTTGGGGCAGGTACATTGCACCCATTTTACAGATGAAAAACTGAAGACAGAGGTAAACCAGCCCAGAACCGAATAGCTGGTAACTGGCAGTGCCAGCATTTAGACCCAGGGGGCCTCCCCCAGCATCTTACTCTTAACCATTACACTGTGATGCTGGGAGTGACCTTCAAGAATGAGGCTGCCATGTTCAGTGCAGACAGGCCATCCCCAAAGCTTACCCCATTAGGGGTAGTGTCCCTGGCGAAGATCGGCCAGGTCTTCCAATTCATGTCATGGCGGTACTGCCGGTGCACATGTTCCCCCAGTCCGTACACGCTGGCGCTCGGCAGCCGGATGGAGAGCTGCAGGAACTGGTCAGCAAACAGGAGGGGCCCAATGCTTGAGTCAAACCTGGACACCAATAGAAAACACAGTGATGGGTGGGCAAATGGGGTGGAGAGAGAGCACAGCTGCTTAGAAGAGTGGTCTTTCTGTGTCAGTGACTCAGTACCCCCACTTAACTGGCCCCATTTGTCCCCCCGTGCATTTTCCCAGGGACACCAAGAAATCAGGACTTCTTGAGGGCAGATGCCATGGGGCACACTTCTTAGATGTGTCCCATAGACACCCTATCACACGACCTGAATACCATTCTTACATTATAGTAGACGTTCTGTAAACAGCTGCTGGTGAATGAATGTGGTTAAGTGAATGGAAGGAAAAGGGTGGCGGGGAAATGGCACAGCTCAGTGCCTGGTTTATAATTAAGGCGTAGTAATAGCATTAAAAGGGGTGGAGGGAGGAGGAAGGCAGGCTGAAAAAGAAGCATATGCATTAGGAGGCAGAGAGTCTGGTCTCCAACAGGGTGCCGGTAACCTTCAAATACATTGTTGGAATTACCCCTTCCTGGGGCTGGTGGAGCTCCCTCCCCTCCCTATTCTGTCCCCCAGGGGGGTTTTCCGAACTTACAGAACACGATCGTTGCTTCTTCTGGTCACTTTGATGCTAAATGGCTGTTTAGAGACCTCGACTTTATAAGCCAGGGAAGAAGCAGCATTTCCCTTGAAGGCTTGGACATGTTCATGGGGCACTTCGTACCGGTCATTGTTTTGGTCAGTTAACTGTCCAGAGAGATGAAGGAAAAGAAAACCAAAATGAAAATGTCTGTTTTCCCAAAATAGAAACCTCACTGCCAACACCAGTGCTTCCCAATATCTGGGCTCAGGGTAGTGGATCTTGGGTCCAAAGGCTACCATGTCTAAGGTGCATGCATACATTATATTATCAAATTCAGATATTGAACACTTGGGTATAAGTTAGTCTTTAGGTAGAAATATACACTCCAAGTCTACAGAGATGAAGTCTCTAGAATTTTCCAAGAAGTGATCATGTTTTCCTTCCCTACTACATTTCGTATGGTATTAAGGGCAAATAAATGAAAACCAAAGCTCACCAGTCAGCTCTGTAATATATATTAAGAAGTCTTAGTCCCACTGAGGTAAGACTAAGATGCCCTCGACACACAGGTGTGAAGTAAGAATAATGGCAGAAGAAAAATATACCGCTATTAACAAAATTCTCTGTCTTCTAGTAATTGCAGTCATCAGGTAGGAAGCCAGAACCGCACAACAAAGATAAAAAAAATAATAAACCATCAGTAACCTTAAAGTGGAAACGACTAGACGTCTGATATTCCGCTGTGAGAAGGACATTGTTGACATCATTTCCAAACAGGGACGGAGAAGGCAACCTTTGCAACTGGGCTCTGAATCCTAAAATACAGAGAGAAAAAGACCAATGCAGCTGGCTGTGTGCACTCACGAAAGACGGGAGAAGGGAAGGGAAGGACACAGACCCCACCGTGCACTCACACAGTCTTGGGCCAGAATCTGAAGCCAGACACTGTCCTTACCTCGTCCAAAAGCCACGCCTCTCTTCCACAAAGTTTTGTTGGAAACCTCCCCCCAAAGGCCTAACTCTCATTCCACCGGCCCAACAGGGACTCTGTTAATCACATGCCCTCCACACTCTCAGCCCTCAATGTGCATATATACCATATTCCGTCCTGATTACTTTCACATTACATTACAGGTGATATACACACCGATGCCATCTCCCTGGTTAGGTAAGCCAGGTGAGAGTGGAGACCTTAGAAGAGTCTCCAGATGGGGAGCATATCTCTTTCTTTATACTAAGAGTCCCCCCAAAGTATATAGTCACCCTCTGTGATCCCCTGGATGGTCATTAGTATGTTTTGCATTTTAGGGTGGAAGGGAAAAGAGGGAATGTTTAGTCCATGCACAATGACACTGGTTAACTTTTCTAAAAGGTTGTAAAACTTGGAATTGTTTTCCCACCATTAAAACCACATTATATTAGCATTGTAAGTAGTTTCAGATTACTAGGTCCAAATCCCTGTCTTTAAAAGTTAGAAACTTGGAAACCAAAGAAGCCATGATATTTGTACAAGGTTACAAAGGTACATAAAGGGACAGCCAGGAGTTGAGTATGTCTCTGAAAGCCCCAGACCCAGTGACCTTTCCTTGACACCAAAATAAGTTTCAGTCCACCTTCCGTCACATGCCTGAGTGTGGCCATGAAGAGGGGCACAGCTACCTCTGCTGGTCGCTTGGGCTCTCACCTGGAGCAAGCAGAGCTGATCCCTGGGGTGTCAGGAGCTCCTGCCCCTGCCCCTCGCCCACCCCGACCCCTGACCCTGCCCCGCCCGGATTACCTGCGTCTGTGTCTGCCAGGCTGCCCACCAGCTTGTAGCCATGGCTCTTGGAGTAGTAGCACCAGGGCACGCGCATGGCCCCCTGAGGCTTCCAGCAGCAGCCACGCTGCTCACACGTGGCCTGCAGTGAGAGATTTAGTCAAAGTGACCCCATCTGTGACAAGAGCTCTATCACTTATCATTTGAGCATGTAATACCATTAACTTCATTTTACAAATAAGGGATCTGTCATTTAGAGAAATTGTGTTATGTCCCAGTTGACGCAGAACTTGTACTCGGAACCAATTCTTCTGGCGAATGTCCTTCCTTCTCATTGTCATTACATCACAACAGAGGGATCATATGCAGTCCATAGCTCTCATTACAACAAAACTGAGGAGTTTAAGCATTCTAAACTGCAATATAGTTATATCACCAGCAACCAAAATTACCATCGGAGCTTCACGTATATAGATTTTGGCTTTAACAAGAAAGCAGCTTTGCAATCAAATGTATTCAGAAGCTTTAAAATCAATTTGCTCTGACATTTGCTATGACTTTTAATATGCATCTTACCATATACAGGAATATATATAAATGATATATATATATATATATATACACATGACATATATGATATATGACATCTATTTATTTATTTACTCTCTCAACTCTTCCCACGGAAAGTAATTGTCCCTTGAAACCCAAATAATTCCAATTTTTCTTTGAGAAAGGGGCCTCCTCATACCACAGTTAGTGACTGAGTCAAGTGGAGACTAAAATGAAGACAACCCATTCCCACCTCCTTTAATTTGGGAAAAGCAACCAGGTTAAATACTAAAAAGTACAAAGAAGCCTCTCTTCCTGCATGTGGCTAGACTGAATGACCGTAGAATGTAGCAAAAATAACGTGTTAGATCGGTCCACAGGAAGATGGTGTCCGCCGGCTGGCCGGCTCTCCTCCTCTCACTCGGTTGGAGCCTTGCTCTGGGAGAAGTGACATGTGTGGTGCAAGGAGCTGAGGGAGGTCCATGGCCTATGGCAAGCAAGGAGCCGAGGTCCCCACTCCACTGGTCCGTGACAAGCTGAATCCTGCCATCAGTCACATGAGTGAGCTGGAAAGGGATCACCCGCAATCACAGTGGACACCATGATTCTGTCTTCTGAAAGACTTCCAGCCAAAATTACCCAGCTAGACAAAGGCCAGACTTCTGACCATAGAAACTGGGAGGAAATGATGTTTGCTGTGGGAAGCCATTAAGTTTTTGATAACACACCTTGCAGCAATAGATAAGGAATACATCCTGTTTCAGCATTTTAGAGACGATGCAGCCGAGGTAAAGGTTCACACGGGTGAAGTGGCCTACCAAAGTTTCTACACTACGGAGAAGGCCCAGGCCAAGCCTCGTTCTCTTCTGCTGGTTTCCTTTTGTCTACAGTTGGGGTTGAGTATCTGCTGAACACATTTTTCAGGAGGACATGGTGTAGACCTATGAACAGTTAGATTTAATCACATGCTAAGTTTTAAGCTAATAGCCAATATCAAGGATGGAAAAACTACATCCATCTGTGGTTTACATTGCTGTGAGGTCAGGTGTCACTGTGAACTCAACTTCAACCAGCAGTTTTTGCTTTTTCCCTTAAAAACACACTGAGATGTAAGCTCAGTATCACAGGAAAAGAGTAGGTGTTTGAAAAGGGTGCTAGGTAGAAGTTTCCCTACGCTCCCCAGAGCTTCACCCTCTCTTCGGCAAACTGGGAAGGGCAAAGATCAAAGAGGGGCCCAAGCAGGAAGAAAAGGGACCAGTGGGTGCTGGCCAGTGCAGTGTGGCTGGAATGCCCAGCCTCTGCAGTGTGGCTGAGTCGCTGTGAGGAGACGTGGGAAGGGAAGCAAAGCATGTCGCACACAGGCAACAGCATGAACACAATGCCAAACCCAGGAAACGCCGGGAGAAAGGAGCTCAAAAACATGACGGCCTGAACCGAGGGAAGGCAGCAGAAAGAAGGAGTCCCAACACACAGAAATGCCCCCTTCAGTTGGACATGAGAATCACAGTCTAAGAGTAAATTTAAAATTTAAGGTAAGAAAACGTGTATAGGGCAGTGGAGGGGTAGAGAGTAGTAGATTAAAGCAAAATGAATAACACAAAGTGAGACCTTAGGAAAAAATTGTCATGTCAATTATCTTGTTCTAAATACTTAACTCTAAAGATAAAGATACTCTGATTGTGTTTAAATAAACAAATTTGGCTAAATTTGCTTAAAGGGCACATCAAAAATCGAAGTTCACCAAAGAACCAAGAGTAAAAGTGGGTATAACAGATATATGAGAAGAATGCTAAGAAAAGGCAGTACAACTATGGTAATATCAGACAAATAGGCTTGAAGTAAAAATTCATTATTAAGGAGACATTGAGTCACTACTCAATGATAAAAGGTTCAATTTACCCGGAAACTTGATATGCAACTAATAATAAAGACTCAAAATATTTACAGAAAAAAATTTAAAGAATGAGAGAGAGAGAAAGAGAGGAAGTTAATTTATTTGAACCCACAATCCAAAATGCTAAACTTTGTGGCATTTGACCCCATATGGAAGTGCTTTTGTTTCTTTCCCCTTTATATTCTTCTTTTTCCTTTATTTCTAAGTCTTTTATTCTCTTTTTTTCTCATTACATGATTTCATTCATCCTTAAATGGCTGCTCCCAGCTGCTGTGTATCAAAAACCAACCTCCTATACATGATTCCCAAGGTCTTCCAAACTCCAAATCCACCCTTTCTGTTCAGCCTCATCTCTTCCTATTGCAAGCAGGCAGGTCTCCAGACTAACCCAAGAGAAGGTCAGGATAAGATGTCAGATGAGGGAAGGAGCCAAACACTACAGGAGTCTCGGTAAGGTCAGCAGGACTAACAGGGATGACTCCCACCTTAGCAGGCTTGCTGCTATTCTGTGTCCTAGCAGCCGGTACGGGCACTGCTTTATCCCGTCCTGGGGATTTCCTGATCGTTAACTATCAATCCAATTGCATCTCTCTGTTGCCTTTGAAACAACCTCTAATTAGTTTTGCCCCCTCACTCTGCTCCAGTCTGCACTTCGTCGGCATTTTCTCTACCCTGAGCTCTTCACCTGGCTCTGGCTGCCTTCTGGGCCCTCACTCCAGCTTCCCCCATCCTCATCCATGTGCGCCAATTCAGCCAATACCGAAGGCTCAGGTTAAAACAATTTCCACTTTCCACAGCCCCTGCCTCTATGACTTTGTCCAGATTATGGGCTGAATTGTGTCCCCGGGAGAAATATGTTGAAGTCCTAATCCTCAGCACCTCAGAATGTGATCTTATTTGGAAATAGGCTCATTGTAAATGTAGTTAATATGAGATCATACTGGAGTAGAGTGGGCTCATAATCCAATGTGGCCAGTGTCCTTAAACATGGGAAGTTTGGATTTGCAGAGATTGAGGGAGGGAACTCCATGGGAACGTGCAGGCAGAGATAGGAATGAGGTGGCTACAAGCCAGGGAATGTCAACACCCAGCACAGTCATCAGAGGCGAGGAGACAATCAAGGAATAGAGTCTTTCTCAGACCCCTCAGCAGGACCAGCCCTGCCCTCATTTTGATTTGGGACATTTAGCCTCCAGATGTGTGAGAAGAAAAAAAAAAACAGAAAATTTACAACTGTCTTTTGGTATCAGGACCCCTAGATAAGCCATAGCATCAACCCCTGAGCGCATTGCACATCGTCCCAGCCCGGGAGCAACAGGACGGCCTCAGGGACACATGGGAGAGTGCCATGCACCCAGGTGTCACCTGCAGCAGCACCCTATCTGTGTCTGATCCAGCTTTGCCACTTCAAGTGGCACTTCACCCCAAAGGCCACATTTTGCTTTTATTCATTCTTGACACGAAAAGGGGCTGATATGGTAGGTACAGTGTATTTTATGATCATAATATCCAGCTGAACTTCATTCAGCTGGTGATCAAGAAACACTGCCCTAAAGTAAATAAATATCCAGATGCCAGCCCTATCTTTAATCTCACATTTATTGCCTTCTTCTTTCAAAGCGTGTCTCTCGAAACTTTGTCCTCGTCTTGAATGTGTTATGCATGCTCATGACTTTTTATTGTTGATCCTAGATAACCTCTTGGAACTGTGAGAAACACAGAGAAAGGGCAAGAAACAGAGGCAGTACCAGAGTCAGAGAGAACCAGTAACCAAGTAGTATTGCCAGACGAAAGACAAAACCACTGTAGTGTGAGTTCCAAGTCCTGCATGGGAGATATTCAATTCTTACACTTAAAAAAAAATTACTCATTGTTTATCTGAAATTCGAATTTCATCAGGCAGCCTGTACGTTCATTTGCTGAATCTGTCAACCCAAAAGAATCTTCCAGCTCTTCCTCTCCCAAAGCTGTACTACCATAAGCATGGATACAGGATGAATTTGCCTGAGCCACCAAGAGCTGCAGTGTGAAAAACTCTCTGGGAATTATCAACAGAAAAAAAACCCCACAAGAAACGACTGTCTACCAGTATAAATTCTTAAAGGAAAACAAGACCCATAACACAAACCTTTGTGGGCAACTGGTCAGGGATGCAGTTTATCCGTTCCAGTTCATTTACTGCTGGGCACTGGGCAGGGTCAGGAGTACTCGCCCCAGCACCTGGGATGACCCCAAAAGCAAACACGAATGACCGTTACACAGACAATATCACATCCAAGAGCCCTGTAGTTCTCAATACCTCCAATTAAATTAACTCTACCACCGACTGGCCTGCACTCTGATGTCCTTGAAATGCATTCACTTTCTAAAGCCTCACTTTGTTCTCACTGACTGCATTTACCTCCACACGTACCTGCACCGTCTCCTTCTGCCACCAAGGCCCTCCCCTAGGAGACAGTGCTATACGAACAGGGAGCCTGCTCTGGCTGCTGTGGCTCAGTGGATTGAGCACCAGCCTGTGAACCAAAGGGTCGCTGGTTCAATTCCCAGTCAGAGCACATGCCTGGGTTGTGGGACAGGTCCCCAGTGGGGGCATGTGAGAGGCAACCACACATTGATGTTTCTCTCCCTCTCTTTTTCCCTTGCTTTCTCTGAAAATAAAATAAATAAAATTTAAAAAATACAAACCAAGACCTGATTCTGCCATTCCATTGGAAGCTCACCAAGGCAGAAACTGAGTCTACGTTTTCCAGTTCAGGGATCAGTAGACAACAGCCTTGGGCCAAAGCAGGTCACTGCCTGATTGTTCAATGTGAAGCTTTGCTGGAGCACAGCTGCATCGGTTTTTACACACTGTCTGTATCTGCTTCTGCGCTACACTGGCAGAGTTAAGTAGTTACGCAGAGACCCTGTGGCCCACAAAGCCTGGAGTATTCAGCATCAGGCCCTTTACAGAAAAGTCTGCAGACTCTGCCAGGGTCCTTCACTGCCATCCCAGCACCTGTGTCACCTAGGTTTGCATGCAGAACACATGCAGCCCATGCTGTGATCTGCAACAGCACCACTGTCACCATGGCAACCTCAGTTGTGCCGGCTGGGTCAGCAGGCTCCCTCCTGAATGCCGCCACTCAGAGCAAGGAGCTCGTCTGAGTGACGGCAATCTTTCATCGACCTCACATCTCCTTTGACATAAAATGTAAAGGGGGCCCCCAGTCTAGAAATGGCAGCTAAAATTTGCCCAAGGGCTGTGATGCACATTTTTAAATTAGTCAAAGTGAAAAAGGCACATTTAATGCATTCTAATATAAGGAAGTGAGATTTCTTGGAGACACTGCAGTAAACAAATAATGACATTAATTTGGAACAACAAGGCTTTTCATTCATTTTCGTTTCATTGGGATTTTCCAATTCAAAAGTGTTGGACTAAAAGAACTCCACATTTGTACCAGCTTCTGCACAAGGGCCTGAGTTCCACTCAGAGAGTTTTAGGGAGTGAACAAACTTGAGGTTATTTAATCTAACTTCCTGTGGGGGTGGAAACTGCCAAGACTAGGAATTTGGGGAGGGTTTACTCCAGCCACAGACTGACCCCCCCTCCCCGCCCCCCACTGGAGGGTGGGAAATCCTGGCTGACTCAGCACAATCCAGCTTCTCTTTTATAATCAAATGGTTCAACAAACTTTTTAACTTCTAATTTTTTAATTATAGTTCACACTCAATATTATTCTGTTTTGGTTTCAGGTGTACAGCAAAGTGGTTAGAAAAACATGGACTTTACAATAAACTTTTAATGAAGTAACTCTGGTCATTGTTATTTTCTTTCTTTTCTCTCTCTTTCTTTCTTTCAAGAGACAGAGAGAGGAAGGGAAGGAGAGAGGGAGAGAAACATCAGTGTGTGGTTACCGCTCGCATACCCACTATGGGGGACTTGGCCTGCCACCCAGGCACATGCCCTGACTGGGAATCAAACCTGCAATCTTTTGGTTCACAGACCTGCACTCAATCCATTGAGTTACACCAGCCAGGGATCATTGTTATTTTTTTAAGGAACCAAACTTTGGCCTAAAATATTTTAATGAATTATATGCTTATTAGACCACCTTCCATATAAGGGTATTGTTCATCACTGTCGTTAACAAAAGTAGAGTAAGTCAATAAAATGTGGCAAATATGTCTCATGTCCATCGTGGAATCTGCACTGTGCGAAGTGGGAAGTGAAAGTGTCAGAACCAACAGTGATGCCTCAGTGATCAACAGCTCATCACTGAGCTGCCACCGTTCAGTGAAATGCTCTCCAACACCTACAAACCACACACACGCACGTGCACCGGCGCGCTCACAGCAAAGAACACGGAGCACCCCTCCCCCACCACCTGTGAGGACTGGGCTCTGATAGGAGCAGCCTGTGGAGGGCGTGCCCTGGAGTCCTGGGTACCTTTGGGCCCCAAGCACTCTCTGGCAGAAAGCACGAAGACAGGGATGATGACGACGAACATGATGAGCAGGAGGGCGCTGAGCGTGAGCTCCAACGTGGTGAAGTTCTGCCGCTTCTCTCCTGCCATCTGTGGGAGCAGAAAACGGTGCTTGATTTGAAAACCGTTTTAAATTTCCTGTACTTATTTAACCTACAGCTAGTAAGGTTATTAACGGAAAAGCTCAAATGTATATCTAAGTAGCTGAATAACAAATCCCATGTACCCATCATCTAGAATAAAAAATTACTAACAGCCAATTCTGTCTTTAGTCCTACTTCTCTCCCTAACCTCGTATTATTTTAATGATCTCACATTTTGTATGTTTTCATTTGAAAATGTCGAAGTATATTTATAAAATAAGAAATGTCACAGAAGACAAGTAAACTATCATCCCATTTAAGTTATTTTTAAAATAATCCCTTAATCATCAAATATCTAGTCAATGTCGAAATTTTCACCATTGTCTGATAAATTTTTTACAGTTTGTTCTACTCTCATAAGTATTCAAGTGAATTCATATATTATGATTAATTTTTAATCAGTAGGGTTTGGTCTGTAGATTTTTCCACTATTTGGGTTTCATCAATTGTATCCCAATGCATGCTAATATGTTTCTCTATAAATTAATTATTAGATCTAAAGTTTTGACCAAAACCAAGAATGGCACATAGGTGGTATAGGGATTTCCAGCAGGAGGAGTATTATCTAGCAGATTCTCTCTTCTTTATGGTAACAGCCATTGGTGAGCACTGTCAACATCCATTCTTTGATTAGGAGTTACGAAATAGTGGTGCAGTAATTCTATCATGTTTTACTTACTGGAAGAACTATTCCTATAGAAAGACACTTCCCCTCACCTATTATTTGGATCATAAAAGTACAGTTCATATAGGGAAGGTAGGATAAATGTTTGGCTCTTTATTGACCGCTTCTCAAAATTAGGAGCTTTCTCCTGAGCACCCCCCAAAGGAGACCGGTGAGATGATTTGTCTGAGATCTTTACGAACTCACAGGCTTAAATGCATTGTATCCATATCAGTTCTCTGATGTTACTATTATTAAAGCTCGTGTCTCATCTCTATCCGGTATGAGTGTCTTTAAGGCAGATCCTAGTAGCCTTTGGTAGTTTCCTTGCCTTCTGCTACAACCCGGTAACCTCAGCTCATGTACTACATTTCCCACCCTGACTCCCAAACCAAACATCTCCAAGGAGTTGCTGCTCTTTTTAGTGGGATGAGGGTTTAGCAACCATAATTTGGAGGAAACCTAGATAGACTTCTAGAACGGAAGGTACCTACAGGTCATCTTGACCTGTGGCTTACCTTTGGAGTCCTTAAGGATTTTCAACTTCAAAAACATAAAAAAATGCACATTTACCTATGTTAGACTTGTTATGAATTTTAGTTCAGGGTTTGGATACTTTGTCAAGAAGTTTACATCAGATGTCCCACACCTACTCCCTGCCCCGGCCCACTTAATTGGTATCTCTGGGGTTAGGCCTGCATATCTGATTATTTTTTAATCTCTATACGTAACTCTGATATGAAACCATGTTTCAGAAACAGTGAACCTGTTATAGGTTGACAAATTATAATAAACATGTTTATTAGGCAAAAATATTAAAACATCGTATCCACAAAGTTGAAAAATAGAAGTGAAACTAATGGATTCATCAAATCCCTTCATTCACAGATAAGTAAAGTGAGATATGCAGGGTGAACTGCCTTCCTTGCTCAGAGTCTCATAGTCTGTGGCCAGAGCCCAGATTGTCCAGATGAATATAGTTTTCTTTGGCTACAATGTCTGTCTGTTTGGCATAGGTACCCATTCAATAGGTGGGTACTTATGAATGGAACACTCTGGGGCCTATTACAACCTCAGGCTTCAACAACTTTCCTCAAGCTATTCCTTTTTGTCCTCACAGGTTGTGTCTGTCCTTACCTCCTCCATCAGATTGGATTCAAGGTATTGCCTTCCCGACTATGAAGGACTTGATACAAGTAGTCAGTTGACTACTATAAGCTGCCTTGGAGTTGAATATCCTCCTTCTGGATACATCGGACTTGAAGGACCTCCAACCACAGAGCTGTCCACGGGGATAGTGTTCTCCCTCACGGAACCTGACGCAGCATGTGTGATTCCCCAGTTCAGTGCTTCTGCCAAACTGACCCCAGTACTCCCACAATGCCTCGGGAACCCCAGAAGCTTGTGAAGCCCAGCACACTGAAATCAAATGCATAAAGCTCATCTGCTTGAGACGCTCACTTTAGACCAAATCTAAGTCAAAAATTGTGTCTTCAATAAAGATCCACGAAGCTCAAAACCTAAAAACAGTACCTTTGTATTCAAAGATCCACCCTACACTGGACTTTGAAGTCTCTTCTCACTAGTGAGGAAGGATTCAGCAAAGTCACACACACTCATTCAATCTCTCTGTGATGTGAGAAGTTATAGAGAAGCCTGTGCCCAGAGATGGGCTGAACGGCTCAGACAGATGGACACTGATATCACCTGCCCTGATATGGAGCCTAGAAACATAGCAAATGTTCAAATCATGACACAAAGTACCCCATTCCTGAGTATTTCTGAGTGTTGTGACCGACACAGACTCAGGATTTAAAGGGAGGAAGAACTGGCAGCTGTCACAGCAGGGCCCACTGGAGGGTCAGCACCTTCAAGGCCTCTGTGCTGGCTCCCCCAGTCTCTAACCAGAACGGCACAGGCCACATTTAAGGCTTTGTTCCTGAAATGGAGTTAGCCACCATGCCCACCTCGGATGAGATGCGTGCCTCACATGCAGTCCGCTCCAGAAATCCCCCTTAGTGCCTTCATCGTGGGGCTTCATCTTCTGTTAGAGACAACTCTGACTCTCGGCTTAGTGGAGGCACCAACCTGCCTCAGTAGCAAGGGATATAAAGCCTCATCACTCATGTCTGTCCCTCCCATGGCTTTCCCAGATGTCACTGCCATTACCCCTTCCTTCCTCTGACCCTCCTACTACTGTCATTCTTTAAAGAGTTTGCTCTTCGCAGGTCAGCACTGTATATCAACTAACATTAACCAAAACACATTCCCTGGTCACTCGTGCCAATTCCAGCAGCATCTTAGAAAGGGAAACCTCGCCATCTGGTGCCACTGGTTTAGCTAAGACCCGAGAAGCCGGGGATGGCCCCCGTTAACTAGGAGAGCAATACTATGCACTGGCTGCATTCTATCTTCACAACAACACTGAGATATAAGAATGGTCAGGCTCATCTTTCCATCGTGCAGATGCAAGGACGGGGGCGCTTTAATGACACTGCCCAAAGCTGACCACCAGCCAGTGGGACAATCAATAGCCCTGACTTCCACCTCAGGAATTCTCCTGATGACCTCAGGTTAGGTAGGGGCCCATCTGTCTTTCACGTTTTGTGTGGGAATACAGATCTGTGGACACTAATATATCGCTTCTCCCAGAGCATAAGAAACTATGTGGAGCAAGAGTATAATGCAGAAACATGCCACTCAGCAGGGAATGCAGCCAACAGCAAGTCGCAATCAACACAGAAATCGGAATGGAGGGAGGGACTTCTAGTGCCGTGTAAGAAGAATTAAACAAATCCATTGTAAAAGTGGGTGGGGTGTTGGGATAATTTCTAAAATGAGTTTCATTGATGTAGCCAACCTCTTGGATCCCCTTAATTCGTCTGTAGAATCAGATTTAAGTAAAAGTGTAAAGGAAAAAGGGGGAGAGAACAGACAAGTAGAACAACCATCTACATGAATGGGGCGGTTAGTCTTGAGACCTGAAGAGCTTGCACTGGCTTCATTGTTTGTGATACCAGAGGGTGCCACCTACAGTGTCTTAATAAAAAGAAGCTAAGACTTTTGCGGGAGATGGCCTCTATGTCTTGGGTATTTTCCAGATATTACTAGTCACGTTTAAACCCTGTAATTCAGCCATTCTTCACCTTTATTTTGCAAGAGGAAACAGAAGTAGTTGTGGCAATCCTGAGAGGCTAGCAGAGCTGAGATCCACTCCCCGCCTCTGCTCCAAAGGCGGCTTCCTTTCCCACCTGCATCAAAGCCCATCCCCTCCCCCACCCCACCGACTTCACTGATCAGAATCCTGTTCCATTCAAACTGTATCTCCTCAGGGACTTAACCTAATCTGCCTTCCCCCTTCTCTTTCTCACAAGAACTCTATCTGCATCTACACTGTATAAAGTATAATGTTGAGGAGCATCCATCTTTCTTCCTACTGATCTTTAAGCCACTAAAGAGCAGTGAGCAAGACAGAGCACCCCACCTCCTAGAGTGGCCCCTCTTGGCCTGAGAGCCTGCCCTCCTGATTCCTTTGCTCTGTGGGCAGCTGGGCAGTGAAGCCAAGACAGAAAGTCTGGTGCCTTCTTCTGCTGCCAGTTGCCTCCTCTGGAAATCCAAATCCCTCTCGGCCAGCCTGGTGTGTTCATGGTGTGAGGAGTATTGTTGGAGAGAACCCCACATTGCCTTGCCTGTACTCTGAATGAGCGTTTGCTGGTTTGGGAGCAAAACTGAGTGGAAACACCCCCACCAAATCTGTAGTGCCCTAGAGGCACTGCTGGGTCGCATTCCTCTTTCTCAAAAGGTAAGGGGAGGAGGAGGTGGGAGGTGGGCCAGGAGCCTCACCAGTATCCGTGGAAGTACAAGCAAAAAGAAGAAAGAACATTTGGATTTTAAAAACAGTGTATGTTACAGGGCTGTTGTTCATTTTACAGGAGGATCAAGTCTATACAAGGATCATTGGTATTTCAATGCACCCTCTACTCCCAGCTTGAGAACAAGTTTTCCTAAGGCTTTTTTCTCCAATGGCATGTCTGCTTCCCTAGGTTGACAATGGCCCTCCTCTTTCTCAAATTGTGAGTTCCCAGACTATATGCCTGCTTATTCCTCTTTATTTTCCTCCTAAGTACTTAGTAGTCATATCTGCATAATCAATACTTATTGACTGATAATATTTTATTCCCCGATTAAACATTTGCAAAATACCTGTATACTTCCTACTGATGGTGCACCATGCAACTATTTCAGAGGATGACACGATGGCACCTGCCTTCAATGAATTTGAAGTCCGGAACTGTTATTTCCTTCTACACAATGAAAGCAATGTTTGGTAGGAAGAGCACTCTGCCTGGAGAATTGGAAGATCCAAATTTTATTTCACAGTCTGAAAGTAACTAGCTGGACAACCTTGAGAAATTCACTTAAGGTTTCTGGTTCTCAGTTTCCTCACTTACAAATTAAAGAGCTCGTCCTGGCTGGTGTTACTCATGGATTGAGTGTCCACCTGTGAACCGAAGGGTCACCTGTTCGATTTCCAGTCATAGCACATGCCTGGGTTGTGGGCCAGGTCCCCAGTAGGGGGCTCATGACAAGCAATCACACACTGATGTTTCCCTCCCTCTCTCTCTCTCTCTTCCCTTCTGTCTAAAAATAAATAAATAAAATCTTTAAAAACAAATTAGAGGTTGGACTAGGAGATGTATAGAATTCATACCAGCATTTCATACACAATTTTTTGAATGAATCACACAAGCTGCTTCTTTACTCATCCATTCCACAAAAGATTCCTGTGCTAAATATTTTGTTACCATTTTCCTTCATCATATCCCCACATTCTCCTTCTCAGAACAGCGAACATGCTAAACACAGCATGAGAAGACTTGAGTTTGATCCCCAGCCCTCCCACTGCTCGCTGCAATGCCTAAATAATGTCCTTAATGCTCTAGAGTTAGTTTTCTCATCCATGAACATGGAATTAATAACACCTACTGTTATATTACCGATCACCACCTTATTGTGAGGATCAAATGGAACTACTTTAAATAAGAAGCACCACATACCATTATGTTATTATTTGCCATGGAGAAGACAGGGAGTGCTGGGTAAGAAACAGGTCAAAACCCTCTTTCCATGGGTGTGGCGCTGGCCCGCACCCAGCGCCCTATGAAGGGCACATGTGTGTTCCTGGCTGCTGGCTGCAGGAGCCTGTTCTGACAGAGGCTCCTTATCAGCTAAAAGCTTTATGGCTTCACAGGCCAGGTGACTCACACATCATCTGGGCTGCAGGTGCAGAGAGCTTGGAAGAAACTGGAGGAGCCTCGAGCAGTCCTGCCCATTCAGGGTCCACTTTCCCCCCACAATGCATCCACTGACCCTCTCCCAGGAGGCCTGCAAATCACATGATCCTCACTCAGAAAGCCCATCTTCTTCCTTCATACCTCGGGCCTCAATTCAAAACTCCCCAGCTTGGGAATCACAGTTCAGCCTTAGTTTGCAGCCTCCTCACCCAACCTCCACTTTCTTCTCTGCCTTCCTCAGTCGTTTGCCCAAAAATTAAATGGCAAGAGGTTTTGTTTCCCATGCACTGGATGAGAAATTGCTGTTTGTCAATGTAATGCTGTCTTGCTGTAAAGGAAATGTGGCCATACCTTCCTCAACAACAAGGATTGCCTCTCTCTTTCTAAAATAAATTCCCCAGTGCTAGTCTTTCTTACCACCCCTGCCCTCAATGCCTCACATCCTCACAAGACATCCCGAAATGTCGATCTCCCATGCAAAATCCCATAAGGACTAATAACCTTAAGTGCCTGGTGTGATTAAATGAAGCAATAAGAGCAGTCTGATGCTGCCCAAGATCACGTCCTTGTTTCTTTTCCTAATGATACTCAAGCAGGTGTGTAGAAAGGCCCAGCAGCCAGGAAGGAACTGAGGCCCTGCAGCCCTGTGAGGGAGGCATCTCAGTAGCAGATCCGCCAGCCCCAGTCAAGCCTTCACATTACTGTTGCCAGGCAATACCTCAGCTGCAACCTCCTGAGAGACCTTGACTGAGAACTACCTACCTAAGCTGCTTCGGCATTCGTCAGCCATAGCAACAGGGAGATAATATAAGTGATTATTGTTTCAAGCTGTTAAATTTGGGGGTAATTTGTTTCTCCACAGTGGATAATTTACATGCAGGGGTAAATATGACTTTTGAATGATATATCAATTGCATTTAAAAAGTATCTGTTTGCTTATCAAAAGTTCTCATGCATCATATAATCAAAAATGGTTACCTGCTCCATGGTACAATAATAATTATTTTCTAGCTGTAAAGGAGAAATATTTCCTTAGCAGTAAGAGGGGGGAGAAAAGCCCTTCTCAGCATCTTCAGATTGACCTTCCTTCCCAATTTACAGGAATGCAATTTAGGAAAGATCAAAATCAAGAAAAATGGCAAAATGCAAATCAACTAGGAAGTAATTTAAATAGCTAGCCTTAATTGTTTTTAGAAGAAACATTTTTTTAAATTTATTTAATTATCGTTCAAGTACAGTTTTCTGTTTTTTACTCCCACTTGGAAGTCTGTCGTTAATCTTTGAATATTCTGTTTCAGATGACAAAGGCAAATTGTGTGACTTTAATGACAAAGATAATATTAGCTAATGACAATTGAGTGAATGTGCTGGGAGACTTCAGAATTTGTCACAGGCAACCCTCCTAACAACCCCAAAATAATGACTGTCACCATCCCTGTCAAACAAGGAGATTAAGCTTCTGCAAAGTCAAATCCCTGTCTGATGTCACACAGCTGATAAGGAACACAGCCACAGCTGGAACACCTGCCCTTTGACCCCACAGCCAGAGCTCTTCACCATCATTCTATGCTCTAGGCTATAATGCCCTGCACTGCATACCAGCCAAGGCGTTTTGTGCAATGTGATTTTATCAGAGAATGCCTGGGTCTTTAACCAAGGACTTAGAGGGTGTGTGGCACGACGCAGAGCCCTTACACGTGCGATTTCGTGTCATCCTCTCAACCACCTACAAGCCAGGATTGCTGTTATCCATGCTTTGTAAGTAAATTAGCTGAGCCTGATGGAGGCCAGATTGGCCAGGTCCACACCTCAGAGCCAGGCTTCAGACCAGGCAATCTGAACCCACAATGCAATGCAAATGCAGAAATTCGATATACTCAAAACTGATTACAGTTGCAATTAAGAGGAGGTAGGGCAGGAAGGTGCCTGTGTTTTTCTGAAGACCACCATGGTGTCAGCAGGCTTATGGAAAGAAAAGGAAATGAAAGTCCTGCCACATTTCACCTGGGGGACCCAGAGTGCCTTTGTAAGCATCTATAGAGGTCAGAGCACTTTACTGCACAGCAGCCTTGTGTTGAACTCTCTGCAAGTCGCTGACTCACTACAACTCTCATTGAATTATCAATGCTTTGTCTTCAGAGGAATGGGGGACCTCATGAAGTTTATGTACTCATTCATTGATTATTTATTAAGCTCCTACAAAGTGCCAAGCATTCTTCCAGGAACCAGTTATAAAAAATAGATAAAAATCCTTGCATTCTTGTGGGTACACAAGAGACAATAAGCCAAATAAACGTACAATAAATTAGACTGTAATAAAATGCTACGGAGAAAAATAAAGTGGGCATGGGGCGAGATGAGGAATGTGTGGACGAGGACTGCTATTTTTATTAGGTTGTCAGGGAAAATATCACTGAAAAGCTGCAAATGATGGTCGTATATACTTTGCACAGACTTCAACAGTCACTTTTTCCTCTTGGTTTAAAAAAGAAAACCACCAAGGCTGGTACTGTTATACTTATTTAGGCAAAGTAGGCCAGGTGGGGGCTCAACTTCTGGAAATAGCCACCTAACTTCATTGGGAGGAACTGGATAATTCTTTTATGAATTATATTGGTGTCTGGTTCCCGTGTGGTGAGCTAAGCCCTTCCTTTAAAAATCCTTTGATAACGCAAGGCAAGAGATCTAGTGGAACAGAGAGGGTTAGTTTTACAGAGACTGAGAATGACTTGCAAAGAGGACCCCAGCAAGCCATGGCCAGTCCTCAAAAGTCCTGGGCAAAAGCGACTGGGTCGGTCCATTGTCACCAGCCACTTAGAGAACAGGAAGGGGAAAGTCTGGGCACATCCAAAGTGCAGAGACCGGAAAGCCAGCTCCAATGACCCTCCTTAGCTGGTGACCTTGGAGAAACTGCTTGAGCCCTCTGAGCCTCAGCGTCTCCATCTGCACCACAAAGGACATCACCTCTAGCAGACAGCTGTGACCTACTGTGACCTGGGCACCAGGGCTTATCCTCCTCATCGCATTCAGTGGTTCCCTGCAGAACCACTTTTAAATGAAAATTTTATTCTTCTAAATCCATTAGTATCCCATGCTTGTGGAGCAGTTTGTAAAGTTCCTTCATCAACCCATCGAAGCTCATTTGTGAGAGAATGCCAGTGAAAAATCACAGGCATCCAGTGTAAGTGTGAGCAAAATAACGACGAGCTATCTTAACTGTGGAGAATGGGATGGAAGGTCCTTCTATTTCATTAGATCCCTGACCCAGCACAGCAACCCAAAGACCTCCCTCTCTCCTTCCCCAGCACCGTACACTCCCTGACACAGGACACCAGGAGGTCGCTTTAGCTCAGACCCTATGTCAGGAACCATCGGCAGCCTATTCCAGCGAGACCCATCACTTGACCTTGGCCTCCCTCCCTTTCCCCAAGGGTAACTCTTCCTTCCCTTCCCCACCTCAGTGGCCAACTAGAAATGCCCACACGTGTGTCTAGCTAGACTCTGACAACTAATTGTAGGTATTTATCAGAGGAGGACCAGCAATAACCCATGACCTTCCACTCCTTCTCTCGGTGCTGCCGTTTCACCTTCACACCTGCCTGCCAGTCCGCATGCTGCCTCTTCCCCTTCATACCCTCCAACCACCCAAAACCTCTCACAGCCCCCGCTGCACACGGTGCACCCCAAACATTCCACATGCACACTTGTAGGCTTCCCTGTAGCAATCCTTCGATTGGGATTGATCGATAAAAGCCCAAAACTCACAGAGGTTGTCACAGTTTTCTCAATTTCTGAGGATGACACATTCTCTAATTACCACTCCTTCATCACAGTTCTACATCCTTTGGGAAGGAAAGTCCCCACATTCTCTAACCTAACTCCTAGGCCTCATCTGTCCAATCAGAAAGAATCTCCACCAGCTACCTCTCCCCAAGGATTGAATAGTTTATCACTCCACACACAAACACAGGTTTAGCTACAACAGGGCTTGCAGATCCAGCCTTGTGCCAGATGAACACACGCTCCACAAGAAAAGAGATAAGTGAGCTGAATCTAGTTTTACGTGTCTGTGCAACTCGTGCCTCATGTGGGTGCTTATTTTTGTCTGTGTTTAACAAATTAGCAAGGAGATCGACACAAGTCCACGCACACTTGCACACACACATCTGAAGCCACAGTGAGCAGAGCCTGCAAACATACCTCGTCGCTGCCCACCGCCACTCCCGCCCTGTCTGAAGGACCACCTGGCAATAAAGGCAGAGGCACAGAGTCCAGAGAAAGCCACCTCAGTCCCGTAACTGGTCACTGCGTTCTTCGCTTAATGGATTTCAAATGCAAATGACCACCCAGCTTGCATCCCTGGGCTCAGATTCACTAGTTAATTAGTAATCACAGCTTTCCAGAGGAGAACAGCCCTAAGGGCATGGAGTGAACTGCAGCTGCCCTGACCCCCTCCAGCCTCCCTGGGCACTGAATGTTTATTCAGCAGGGAGGACACTCCAGGTGCCTGGTAAGAGAACACAGCCCACTCAATTTGTAGACAGATGATCAAGAGCAAAAACCAATGGACTCAGTGTCCCAGAAAAGTCCCCTCTCTCTCAGGGAGCCCTAACCTCCCAGGAGCCCACTGAGACTTAGTCATCCAATCAGCTGATTTTTGTTTGAAGGAAATCGTCTCCAAAGTGTTTCAAAGTAGCTGTCTTTTTTTCCTTGTCTTTGGAAGAGGTGTCTTTAATATTTGCTGCATAGGCAGTCTCTTGGCAGCCTGGCAGAGTCTGGAGGAGAGGTCCACTCTGCTCAAAGCCCATTCAGTAGAGCCCGAAAGGATGGCCAAGCACTGCCCCTCATCTTACAGATAAGGAAGCTGGGACTGGAGGTGTTGTGAGGTTTGCACGAGTGTAGCCGCGATCAGGTGCCAATCTCAAGTCAGGAGACCTGAATTCAAAGGTCACTTCTGCTGACCGGCTGGGGATCCAAAACCTAACGAGCCTCCATTTCCTGAACTTCGGTGAAGATAAAACTGGTTACCTATCCAGTCACATTGTAAGGGTTAAACAAAACGGTGCAAGTAAAAGACTTGGTACCACATAACTACTCAGTTAAGTGTCAGTTGTGATAATAACTATTATGATGCATCTGCCACCGCTGTGGCTGGAACCCAGAACCCGGACTCCCAACCCAAGCTACCTTCAACTATGCCAACATGTCCTGCTCTCTTAAATCAGAATTCTCCATGCAGTAGGCACTCACTGATGTCTCAACAAGGAAAACCATCAAGCACCTACTTTGTGTAAGGCCTTGTACTACCTGCTAATACCAGTGACGCTGCCCAACTGCAGCCCCTGGGTTGAAACCGAGAGATGATCCAGGCCCATTTGAAGAACGAGGCCCATAAATGCATCGCTGTCCTGGCCACACAGCCTCACCTGGGCATGAGGGTGTCAAGAAAACAGGTCTGTTTGGGAGCCTTGGGGGCCAGGCAACAGTGAGAATGAACAACATGGTGATGAACCCCCCTCCCCATTCCTTACTCAGACCCTAGTGACTCTGTGTCTGGATCACGCATCAGCTCCTGGGCAGCCTTTCAGCCTCTGAGCCCTAAAACGCAACAACAGCCACTTCCTCAATACAAGTTGATTCAATGTGTATTTATTACAGGTGCGCTATAAACAAGGGACTCTCCGAAGAGCAATAACAGCAACATTTCTGAACGTGTAGAGGGCCTGTGCATTCAGTGAGTAGCACCCATGGCTTCATTTCCCGCTCACAGCTACACTGTGAGGCAGAGGCTGTTATTATCCCGGTTTTTATAGAGGAGAAACCCCAGGCACAAAAAGCAGTTTTCCCAAGGTTATGCAATTAAGCCTGAACTTGAACACAAATGGAAGCGATATCTCGATAGCCTCACAGCCAAGAATAAAGAAGTCAAATGGCTGTGATGCAGCAGAAAGACAGCACTGACAAGTGCCACTAAGGAAAGAGCACACACCATGGGCGGGGACAGGGAAGAATGCCACAGGCAGATGAGAATGCAAAAGGAAGGAGGGCAGGAAAGACGTGGTGGGCTGAGGGATCTGCACAAGCAAAGCGCAGAGGCAAGGGAGCTCGGGTCCTGGGTAGAAGCTGCAGCAAACAGCCCCGACAGGGATGGCAGTTGTGGGCAGGTCAGGGGCACTGTGGGAAAAGTACAGAGTTGCATCATGGAGATTCCAGCCTGTGAGGAAGAAGACTTCTGCAGCAACAAGGGCCCATCACAGCTAAGAACGTGCCCAGAACAGTGCATGAAAGAGATTTCCGAGGTCTTTGCTGAGGACTCAAAGTGCCAGATTATCTGTCTCTGTGAGTTCCGACCCCTCCAAGCAGAACAAGTGCATGTGAGCAGGGAACTCTGGAAGCTGTGCAACCGGCCTGCCCACTGTAGTGGCACAAAGGTGTAGAGGTCAGCTACCTGAGAGCCTCCCCAGGCATCGCCGAAGCCCAGTGTGTCCCACGGTCAGTTACAGAACCAGGACGCTCTGAAACTGATTTATCTTGATTTTTAATCTGAAACAGTTGGGTATCACATTGAACTCAAGATCAACCATTTCTCAGAGACTGTTCCCCTGTTAAAGCTTCAGATGGTGATTTAATATTCCCCCGTGTAATACCACAGAAAGAGCATGGGGTTTGGAACCAAACTAGCCTGCAGTTGGCTATCAAAGTCTCTACTTCCTTGCTGCAAGCCTCAGGCAGTCATTTAAATTTTCTGAAGCTCCGCTGCTTTCTCTGGGTATTAGACATGGTGATATGCATGCCACAGTCAGTATTCTAGTCCTTTCCCAACTTGTTTTTTCTCAAAATAAAGTCAAAGAAAATCCAGCCAACAATGCCATTCACTGAAACGTTGTTGAGAATTCTTTCTCCAAGTCATCCACTTTCAGAAACAGCTTCACTTAGCTGGGGGATGGAGGAGGTGGTCTCTTCCAGCCGTGACCACTGACATCAGACAAGCAGAGGGCCTCAGAGCATCCTACACCAGACAGATTCCACGGCCAATGAAAGAAAGTGAAGCCTAGCCCATCGCTTTCCTCTATGTGGCTCTGCAGTACTCTCTCCCTCTCTGCATCTCTCTCTCTCCCTCTCTCATTCACACACACACACACACACACACACACACACACACTCACACACACACCCTGTATCACACTACCCGCCCTCACAGCACACACCACCAGCTACATCCCTTCCTGTCACCAATCACCTCGAACAGTCTCCATTGAGCCTACACACTGTAAATCGTACCTCCTTCTCCTTTTCTGCAGCCAGGTTAGTTCTCCCTCTTTGATTCCAAATGTAAGCCCTTCACATCAGAGGCTTCCTGAAAAGGGAGAAATGGAGTTGTTTGGGGGAGGAGTTATTTCTCTGCCCAGAAATGTCCAGAGGAAGATGAGAGCAGTAGCTACTTACATGGATCATTACAACATTTCCTTCTCTGGTGAAATGTCTGTTATTCAGCAGTTTTACACCACCTTCCATTCTTTCCTGCCTCTAACCTGCACAGTCAGGGACCCGTGGACCCACAGAGGGGAGTCCAAGGAGAGAGTTCATACCAATAATGCATTACCTGGCATCCATGTGTCAGTAATCGAACTCTCCCTGTGCGGAGCACGTAGCAGGTTTCAGAGCACTTTAATCTACAATATCTCTTTAAGCACAACCCTGTGTGATAGGGTAGGTATTTTCAATCCCCACGTACGAACAAGGAAAGGAAATAAAGAAAAGTGACTTGCTAAAAGTGAGTCCAATCACAGCAGAATCAAAGTGATATGAATTTAACTTCATTCCAGTAATCCAACGTGCACTGAGTCTGAAGTCCATAAATCTAGAAAATTGCCTTTTCAGGCTAAATATTGCTTTATTCATTAAAAAATGTCCAAGTTCACCCCCCACCATGTCTCTCAAAGCGGAGACCATCCCTGTGACCCTATCAGTTATCAAATTCTACCATCACCCCTCACGGATGGCTACTCCTCTTCAAGCCTCAATCTTGTACTGGAGATTCCCATCACTGCCTGCCTGGCTCCCCTCCCCCACGCCCAGAGAACACCAGCCCACTGCTGGGAGGGAGCCCAGCATAACCTTAACCCAATGGCCATGGGGGACTGGACCAGCACTGGACAGTTGACCCAGCCTGGTCCAGCTGGATTCTCCCAACCAGAAATAAGGATCTGAGACAAAGAGTCTGACTCATGTTATGTTGGGCACTAAGTATTGAGAGGCAAAGACTAAGGCATTTTACTGAAAATACTTGTTTTCCCAAAAGAGAATGGAATAGACATGTAGAAAGTAGCAGAAATAAGAGACCATTCAAACCCAAAGAAGGAAAAACAGACAGCCCAGCTGCCAGTGTTTTTCCTGTTTTTGTGAAGGCAGATGTGCAACTGAATTTCATGTAATGCTCCTGCTTCTTGACCAAAATGCTTTCTCTACTGTTACCACCACCACTTCTACCACCAACCACCACTATCACCGTCATTATCCTTGTTGTCATCATCATCATCATCATCATCCTTTCTATCAGCCAGGCTCTGTGGGTTTGTCTGCCTGGCAACTAAATAGTAGTCCCTGATAGCCCTCCTCTGATAGGCTCCCATTGCTTCCCTTTGTCCAGTGGAAATACCTTCACCAAAACTTCTAACCCCTGCAGCAGAACCTGCAGGAGGAGGACAACATGCATCCTCCCCCTGTGACCTCTGTGTCGCTGCCTCTACAATCACTTGCAATCGTAGGACCTTCAAATCCCCATGAAGTCTCTCTGAATTGTTTGGTGTCCCCATAGAATTGTAATTTTTAGGTCAGGACACACGTAACTTAGGGGTGTACAGTGACCTACTGAGAGGTACATGACACATCTTCTTGGGAGTTCAGTTTTAACCGAAGATCATTGGAGAGGTGCAAGTAGTTTGAACCAATACTTTGAATGATAAGAAATGTGGCTGTATTGTGTCATGGCATGCAAAGTTGCCTGCTTTTTTCAACACGAAACACTAACTCTTACAGAAAGTCTCCCCGTGATGAGCCCCTGGTGAGCCTGCTTCTCCCCAGAACCCTCTCAGGGGAGGAAACATGAAAGAAATGCCACCAGAAATGTCCACAAGGCACTGGCAGTGTCTTGTAGCCGTCCAGAGACTCTGTCATGGCCACTCTCTCCTGTGGGTCGGCCTCACCCCCACTAGCCCTCTGCTCTGCACTCTGTCACTCAGCATGTTGACACTTTGTCCCCTGTCTCCGACAGACAAAGGACCCCCAGAGTGTCCACCCTGCACAATGTTCTCTTGCTTTCTCAT